TCGGCGCACGGATCGCGCGCGGTTCGCGCGCGGTTTGCGGCCTCTGTGTCGCACGCGGCTCTTGGCGCCCGTTTTTGTTGCGCTCTGAGCAGACAGCGTGATCTTAGGTTCGTCCCCAGCACACTTGCGCATTCCCAGTGTGGTTTTTGCAGCACGGTTCGCTCTGGTCGTTCGCGGGCCACCTGCGCATTCCCAGTGTGGTTTTTGTCGGATCGCGCACGGATCGCGCGCGTTCGCGGTCCTAAGGCGCTTGGCGGCCTTTGTGTTGCGCTCTGAGCAGAAGGCGGCCGGATGGTTTGTCCCCAGCACACCTGCACATTCCCGTGTGCTGCTTGCTCTCGGATCGTGCACGGATCGTGCACGGACCCCGCGCGGTTCGCGATCCTGTCGCGCCATTCGTATTGCGCTCTTAGCATGCAACCCGATCTTAGGCTCGTCCCCAGCACACCTGCGCATTCCCAGCACACCTGCGCATGCCCAGTGCACGGTTCGCGCTCGGATCGCGCACGGATCGCGCGCGGTTCGCGGTCCTTTGGCGCTTGGAGCCCTTTGTGTTGCGCTCTGAGCAGACAGCCCGATCTTAGGTTCGTCCCCAGCACTCTTGCGCACTCCCACGCAGTGTGGTTTTTGCTGCACGGATCGCGCACGGCGCGCGGTCCTTTGGCGCTTGGCGCCCTGTTTTGTTGCGCTCTCGGCAGACAGCCGGATCTTAGGTTCGTACCCAGCACACCCGCGCATTCCCAGCACACCTGCGCATTCCCAGTGTGGTTCTTCTTGCACGGTTCGCGCTCGGATCGCGCACGGATCGCGAGCGGTTCGCGGTCCTCAGGCGCCATTCGTATCGCGCTCTTAGCACGCAACCTGATCTTAGGTTCGTCCCCAGCACACCTGCGCATTCCCAGTGCACGGTTCGTGCTCGGATCGCGCTCGGATCGCGCACGGATCGCGCGCGGTTCGCGGTCCTTTGGCGCTTGGAGCCCTTTGTGTTGCGCTCTGAGCAGACAGCCCGATCTTGGGTTCGTCCCCAGCACACTGCGCCCAGTGTGGTTTTTGCTGCACGGATCGCGCACGGTGCGCGGTCCTTTGGCGCTTGGCGCCCTTTTTTGTTGCGCTCTCAGCAGACAGCCTGATCTTAGGTTCGTACCCAGCGCACCGGGCATTCCCAGCACGCCTGCGCATTCCCAGTGTGGCTTTTCTTGCACGGTTCGCGCTCGGATCGTGCACGGATCGCGCACGGTTTGCGGTCCTCTGGCGCCATTCGTATCGCGCTCTTAGCGCGCAGCCCGATCTTAGGTTCATCCCCAGCACACCTGCGCATTCCCAGTGCACGGTTCGCGCTCGGATCGAGTACGGATCGCGCGCGGTTCATGCTTTGCCGCTGGGCGCCCTTTGTGTTGCGGTCTGAGCAGACATCCCGATCTTACCTGCACATTCACAGTACACCTGCGCATTTCCAGCGGCGCGGCTCGTCGCTCGGTTTGCGCATGGTTCGCTTGAAATCAGTCGGTACAAGAGACCCACCCCCAAGGGCTTGGACAGCTCCAGCTCAAAAAAAGAACTTTGCAGTACACTAATTCTGCGCAAAGGAGGCCGCCCTAAGATCTTGGGAAACTTGGCGTTTTGGCGGACCGAGTTTTCGAGAAACGTTTTTGTGATGACTTACAAGCCCCCAAGCCCCCAAGCCCCCAAGCCCCCAAGCCCCCAAGCCCCCAAGGCCCCCAGGCCCCCAAGCCCCCAAGCCCCCAAGCCCCCAAGCCCCCAAGCCTGCAAGCCCCGGAAATAGTTTAAACTCAAATGAAAAGATGATCTTCGTGGGTCTTTTTGGTGTAGACCTAGCCAAAGAAAAGTCCTTGCTTGTGAGCCAGCGTGGTCGGCCCGGACTTCCAGCGCGGCTTCATGCACAAGTGCCGCGAGCCAAACGTCACCTTGATCGGCTGACAGGAACGCTCGCTTCGGACAAGCTTGGCCTTGTTGAACAAGCAGGGCCAGACTCATCTCCACGGCACTAATTTGCTGCGGCGAAGCGTTTGTGGACTGGAGAAGGAGCACCGTGCCTGGCGAAGCATAACGTTTCCGCTGGGGGAGCCTCATGCTGCATGCATTTTTTCCAGGAGAGATGTAATTTCCAGGTGGAACTGCAAATCCCTGTTTAACTCAGAGCCGAACTTCCAATCATTTTGGTTGTCTTGATTTGCCCCTAAAAATAGTCAACTCTCCGGGCCATCCTTACGAAATCACCCGCCCAGCCTCGGGAGCCAGCCAATTTCATGGCCTGCTGAAGTGCGGGCGCCGTGGGAAGCACAAGGTCGGAGTCCCAGAGGACGCACACATCCTGCGGCACCAAGTCGCTCTGCATCGCCACCTGCGCCGCCGTGAGCGTGCCTGTTTTGGAAACAAACTTCTCGGGCAGCAAGCGGAAGTGCTTGCCGTCAATCTGCTCCTTTTCTTTGCCAGCACGTTCAGCACGTTCTGCCAGCAGCTCATCTGCCTGCAGAAGGACGTCAGGCAAAATCTTCTGGCGTCTGACGTGGCACTGCACTATCTGGGCAGCTTGCAGCGCCTCGAGAGCTCCGCTCGCCACAGTCTTTGGCGCTCTCCACGTTCACCGCTGCGGTCTCCTCAATCAGCTCCAGCTCCTTGGCCTTCTGGCAAGTGTTGTAGTTCTTGATGCAGCGCCAAAACGGTCCAGACACTAAGGGGTCCGTGCTGCCACTGACCTCAGTAAGAACAAGTAGAGGAGACTACGCACGAGAGGACAAGCTGGTAGACCACAACTAGACCATGTTGCTAATGGACCATCCGAGGCTCTTCTTGGTCAAAGTCTCCACATGCAAACTGCCCATGCAAGCCAGTATAGTCGATGGAGTGGCGCGCCCAGCCTCACGTGGCTGTGAAGCCTCCCGAACGAGTACCCAAGTGCCGTGCTCGTCAAATCGTGTCACAGGGTATATACTGTTCTGTGGAGCCAATACAATGGGCCGTGTGGCAAGGGAAGTCCTGGATGGCCTGCCCTCCCGCGCAAGCGCGGGTTCAACACTGTGTGCCCGATGTTCCACAGGGGTAGCAGCAGTCGGTCCTCGTCTCGGAGGCGATGGAGACCTCGACCTTCGGGGCGATGGGGACCTCGATCTTTGTGGCGACCGTTCCCTGCTGCTCTCCCGCCGCGTTTCCGCAGCTCTAGCGTACACCCCGCGAAGCGCTGTCTTGGCGGCGCCCCGCAACACTTGTCTTTCCTCTGCTGATGGTCGGATGCGAGGCAATGGAGTGCGCGAATCTTGTAGCCAGGATGAAGCTGAAGGAGGCGTCGGAGGGCGTAGCCAGTCCGCTGCACTGCTCGCTGCTTCCGCCGCGCCAGAGGCTGCGGCTTTATCCTGAGATTGCACACCTTGCGGCAAGACCACACCTGCGGTTTCAACCGATGCGAGACGCTGCTGATAAGCGTTGTCCGCGGCCTGGATCACTTCGAAGGCTTCTTGGTCAAAATCCCACAGGTGCCAACTATCCAATGACTCACGCCAGGAAAAGAGCGCCTCGATCTGTTGCTTCGAGGCGTCTGCAAACCTGATCCACCGGAATCGTCTGTCCTGCCGTTTGTACTCGTCAACGACGATCTGTTGCAGAGTGTTGAATAGACGAGCACGCGGCCCTTTCCCACCGCGAGTGCCGCGGTGAGGGCCGGCTTCCATGTGCGACCAAACGGTCGCAGTCACGGAAGGGTTTGTTTACCCGAAAAGCGTTACGGCTGATAACCACTCAAAGGAGAGGGAAACACAGTTTTGTCAACAACGGGGGAACCCGGGACCTTAAAAGGAACGAACCCCTCCGTGACTGCGACCTCTCCCTTAACCTTGTGGGGTAGCGCGAGCAACGCGCTCTTTTCAGCACTTGAGCCAAAGCAATGATCGTGTCATGCTTGGGCATTGACTTGAATGTACATCATGCAACTTGTTGTACCTCTGGGCCATAAATGTCATTGTGATAATTGACTTTTCGGTGGGTATTTGGCGGCTAGCTTCCTGTAGAGTTTCGTGTAGCTGGTTTCTATGAACAAAGCAACCCCACATTATTGTGCCCTCAATATGGATAAGCACACACTTGACCCCTTGTAGACCAAACATTTCATCCTGGCTCCTCTGCGCTATCTTGCTTGTGAGTCCTGCACTGCAAACACAAAACTGCAACCTCCCTCGCGAATATGTTCGACTCAGCTGTTCAAAATTCAGGGTTGGCCAGCCCTACTCCAACTTGTGTTGGACACCTCCACCCAATGAGGAAACACGTGGCAGCCCCCCCCGCCACAAATTACTTCACTCGTATCCACAAAACATATAGGAAATGAACTACGGGGGGCCCCCCCTAGACCCTGCTGGGGAAGGACGGCAAAGCAAAATTGCATGCAGCCAGCTTCCCAGCGCGTCTCGGCCCGGCGAAGGCGCTCCTTTTCCGAAGCTTTGGCATTTCTTGCGCCGGGGCCCTTTGAGGCCGCCCGCATTTGCGGTTGCTCAGGTCCCAAGCACTGCTCTCAGCGTCCACCAGTCGAGAAGAAACACCTAAAACGTGTCAAATCCTGGCCCAAAGGAGCTGAACAATCTTGCTTGGGGAAAAAAAGGCGAAGCCGCGAAAACCAGTCATAAATCACGGATCAGGTGCGGTGGATGCAGCCAATAGGAATCTTCAATCGGGCATTTCCATGACTCCCCTCAAGGCAGTGATTGAGAGGGGCCATCTGAGAAGAGCTTTTGGACCGGAGCTCTGAGTCAAGTCCTTTGACAAAAGCTAACAACTGTCATTGATAATTCGCCACGAGCGCAATCGGCTTGAGACCCGAAATGGCAAAAGCCGCACAGTTGTGGAACATGGGCTTCTCTGCAATACCGAAGCGGGCCATCTTTTCAACCAGCTTGTCAACAAATGCATTCCGTCCCTCAAACCTCCAGTTTCCACAACTATGAAAAGCTCTCTGGAAGAATGATCTTCATGATGTCTGCATAGAGTGCTTCTTACACTTTAGCAGGACTGATCTTGATGATGTACTCAGTATCGGTGTCAGGGGATGTCTCCACTGGCTCCTGGCAGGTGCCGATCTGCCAAGTAGGCAAGCAGTGAATCGACCCCACCCGGATGGACACAAGCAAAGCGCACTGCAAAACAAACAGATCCGCAAGATTGCACCAGCTGCTGCATCAAGTGGACCAATTTTGAGATTCTGCATGGCATGATTTCTCTGGTTGTTGATGCCCCAAAAACGGTCAACCATCTCCCGAGCTGTTAAGCCACGCTAACTCCTGTGAAGACTTCCAGGGTCACCAGTTGCCGAATTTTCAACAAACCTGGACTTCCCCCTTGAGGATGCCGCCGCAAATCTACGGCTGTCGAGCAGAGTGTCATGCCACGCGTCATGTCAAGCAGCCCAAGGTCAATGGATTCCTTTCCTGCTGAGTCATAAAACGCAAACTCGCAGGGATGCAAACAATACCCACAGTGTAACCGGGAAACAACCCATGGTAGCCCAATGTAGTCCTCTTGACTTTCCTAGCACTCATGGCCAGATTCCCTACGCCATGACGACGAGCATCAAACACCAAAGCGTCTCAATCAAGACTATATATGATATATGCACCTGCACCCTGGGATTGATTCCGTGGTGCGAAGTCAAGTTGCACTCCCTCAGACTAACATGACAGTTCCAAGAAGGCCTTTGTAAATGAAACCCAGTCTGCCAAAATCTTCCAAAGGGGTCAGGGGTTCTTCCATGTTAGCCTGGGGGAGAGTAATCGATCTGGAACGAGGGACTGACAAGGTGTCTAGCCTCCCGTACCCCAGCTACCCTGATTCTGTCCAACCTGTGTGGTCTTGCGTTGCCCTAGAGCGACCCCAGTCGGCTCCAAATCAAATTCATCCAAGCCACGTAGTCGCTCTCGCTCAAAAGGTCCAGCACAAAGAAGACCAAGGCCACAAGCCTCAGGTTGCCATAACTGGCCGCTGGCCTTGCCTCCAGTCCACGGAACAGCGATGTCGAGCCTCACCTTTCAACACCACCCCACTTGAAAAGCATGTTTGAATGGCCCAAAGGGATATGGCTGTGGCTCAAAAAGGTGGTACCAAAATGGCACCTTGGTAAATGGAACCAAAGACTAAACCCCGCGGTTTGCCCCATTTTTTTTTTTAAAAAAATTGAGCCACACCCATATGTGACTATCACAACACTAGAAGCCCACCGCATCCTGAAAGCAGGATGAAGGGCCGCGCGGCTATCAAAAGCAGCCCTGCGTGTGCTTGAAATATGCCCCAGGGTCCTAGGTCTACTCCCCCACCCCTCCCCCACGAAAAAGAGGGCAGCTCCCGCCTTCCCCCACTGCAACGTTGGTATGGCGACACCTTCCAAAAAGCACAATGATCGGAAGGCAGTTACCTTCCGACCTCAAGCATCATGCCACACAAGCTGGCTGAAGTCGGAACAATCCAACCAAACAACAACTGTGTACAGGCCCCCATGTAATTGTTTCATACTTTTCTGGGCGAACTCAAGGCGCAAAGCCTGGCCAGGGCGCGTCAGGCAGTAGAAAAACACCGCCTCAGTCTTGCCGAGTGGCCCAGGGAGGCCGAAGATCAATCGTCTAAGATTAACCCTTGGGGCATGAATACCCGGACCTTCCAGTGACATAAATTCGTGTCACGAAAAAAAAAAAAAAAAAGAAAAAAAATGCTCGGGCCAACCCATGATCCAGAAACTGCTCGTTCTCCAAGAAACGCTCGTTTCTCAAAAGACCAATTGTTACATGATTCGGATTTGAGCGCTCGTTTGCGGGTATTTGCGCCCGTTGTGCGGGTATTTTTCCGCATGTTTCCACGCAACAGACTACGTGAGAAGAGAGAAGCCGCCGCAATCGCCAGAAATGCTCGAATCCAAATTTTGGCCCTGCCACAAAACACCCACGGGACACACATGTATGCGAAGAATGAAGGTCCAGGTCCATGTCCAGGACATGCCAAGAAAGCAGCCAGCCCTCGCTCAAGCCGAGCCGCCCAGAAAAGCATCAGCTTCAGGCCGAAAGGGTCGCCTTGGTGCGCGGGCCCGGGAGTTGCCTCTGACGAAAAGTGGGGCGGCTCACTGATGTCCAACCATACTGAGATGCCCAGCGGATTCCATGGAAAACAAAGGGGCACCCTTGTTTGGTTGCTTGAGTTTAAACGGGAACCCTACCCAAAAAAGGAAAACAGCGCAACACCGGGCAACCGAGACCTGAAAATTGTCCAAAAGTGGAAGTTGCTAACCTCCTCACTCTCAATCGCTCCACAAGGCTACAGTATGAAGCGCTGTCCTTACGGGATTCGCGTTCATAGGATGCCAAACTTCGGAAACACGTGCTGCTTTGCCCTTTGCCCTTCAAATCCAAAGCAGAGATGAAGGAAGCAAGTCGGAGCTTTTGTTGAATCTCAGCTGGTGCTGCCTTCGTTCACTGGGCATCCACCGCGGTTGCCCCTGGCCATTGTAAGCGTCCACTACTGGACATATGCCCTGCTTGATCCGGGGCTTTGCGTGTTTAGGGGCACTGGGCTTGAAGAACGCATGCGCTTTGCAAGCTTTTTCAACTCGGACCATTCAAAAGCCAGTCGCAACACATTAGAAAATAGTGATGGCAAAAAAAAGGGGTGGGGACGGTGGTGGTTTCTGCAGAACGTTGTTGCAAAACCCTTGCCGTGCTTTTGACTGGGTGCCCCTAAAATGATCTAGCCGCATGATTGTCCCTTGCTGCACGCCGGAAGCGTTTATGAAAGTTATTGAAGTCCGTTCAACGGGTCCCCTGATTTAAAGCAGCATCGAGGTGCTCAAGATCAAATTAATGAACCTGCCTCGGGCACTCGACAAATCTCCACATGGTACCGCCAGTCCAAAGCCGGAAGGGATCCCCAACTAAAGGACCTTCACCATAGACTTAAAATTGGTCTATGCAGCACATCGGCAAGCTCGTACGGAGGATATGCGGCTTGAGTTGTGCTTTCGCTCTTCGAATCAGGGAAAAGCTCTGGCCGAAGACGCAGGGTTGCCAAGGCCTAGCACAAATATGGGGTTCCACCAACTTGCCAAATGAGGACTGTGCCAAACCATTTACACAATGGTCCTTTTGAAAGATTTGGTGGTGGACAAGTCAGCACTGGGCTTAGCGTGTGAAAGCGCGAAGAGAAAGGACGAAAAGTGGCACAGACCAAAACCCCCCGCACCCCCTCCCTCCACTTTGAACTTCCCGTCAAGAGGCTGGGATCTGTCAGAGCCACAAGCCTTGGACAGTGTCTTTTGCGCTTAGGGTGCTCAAGATGCCTTCAACTGAAATCAGCCTATTCCTGTTCAAGTCCGAGATGCCACCTGGCAACCTGGGTCCCAATGCCCGCGTTTTGGACTGTACTGCCGGACACAACAACTAGGTCCTCCAGTAGAGAGGTTAGAATAAGGGTACCAAATTTTTGGTGTAGTCTTTTTTAGGGGAGCCCTCCCCCCAAAAAAGTTGCTAAAAGGTCACCTAGCTGGGGGGCAGACACCACAGCCACCGGTGCAGTCTGCGAAGCTGAATGAGCCGAACGAACATCCCACGCAAAGCTTGCCTGCCGGGCAGCGGTAGCCTCTCTAACTCGAAGTCCTTCTGCTTTGAGAAGCCCAGATTCTCAGACAACTCCTCGCTTGCTTTCTGCGAGGCCCTGCTAAAAGCGACTAACTTTTTGTGGTTTAATACGGAAAACACATTAGTTGGCAACAAGTCAAAGTCCTGGCATCCAAGCAAAATGCAACAAAGTCCTGGCAAGCACGTGCAGTGCGAAGGCGGAATCAACTGCCATGGCCGACTTGGTCCAGCAACTAGCCACATTCCCATCACCTCTTTAGTTTTAAATGGGGGTTCCATGGGAAACGCAAGAAAATGGCCCCAAAACCAATGTTTGGGTTTGAGACCTTGTGCATCAGAGCTCGAAACATATAGATTAGCAACTTGCGCCGGAGCCTTGGCAAGCGCGGAGCTTCCATTCAAAGATCGTCCACAATCTGCGAGGCACCTGCTTCATGAATATTGATTTCTGTGCAACTGAGCAAGGGTATAGCCATGCTTCCATGAAATATGCCGGCATATCCTCGGTAGAGGTGCTGTGCCAACCTGATTTCGTCTCAAGGTCCCAAACGCCTCAATACTACCCCTTCAAACAGTCAGACATGAGAACCACCCCAAACGCTGGCAATCTCCCAAAACGCTCACTTGAAAAGGCCCAGCTCTTGATAAGCCCCTCTCCCCCATGCGCTTCCCTGTCCTTTGCCAAGGTGTGGAGCACTTCCTCCTGTCGGACGTGTTGCGCACATGGAAAGTTGTCAGACCTCCCTGCCCCGTGCCGCTGAATTTGGTCCCCGCCCTTCAAGGGGTTCTGGCGGAATGGGTCCATCATGTTGCACAAGCAGGCATGAGACAACCCAAAACCCGACAATGCCACATGCGCTGTCCATGCGGAGCTGTAAAAGGCGCCCGTCTTCCACGCAGAGTGACACATGAGCAAGACCATGTCAGGGCTGCATGCAAAAAGAAAGAGCTCTGGTTTGATGAAGCAGTTGGAAGAGCACCCAGTGGCCTGGGACTCGCGTAAAACACAGAACGCAACACAACACAACGCATATACACGTTTGGCGCTTTTGCCATCCAGTGCCCAAGATTGAAATTACTCATGGAAACGACAGTATCAAATTGCAAACAGCCAGGGTGGAACAGTTGCAATACATTGCCAAAGGGTTTGACGGGACGTGTTGAAGTCTCACAGCCACCGTGACGGAACTTCATTGAGGTGTGTCGGTGTGTGGCAAACCTTTTTTGTTCTTGTTTTTCAATGGACGCCACGGAGGGAGCAACCCAATTTAAGGGTCCACTCAGTTTGAGAACAAATGTTCAAACTTTTCGGGCCCTTTCGTTTTTTTTTTTTTGGATTTGCTTGGATACACTCCGCTCTTTCAAGGGCTCCAAGCTAAACCAATTCAAGGAAAGTGATCAGATGCAAGTTTGGTCGCGGATTTCCCGTAAGCTCGATGGACATGGTAAGGCTCCTTGTAAAAGCTAGAGGGGGGGGTGAGGGCAGTGCCTGAACTGGTATAGAGGAAAGGCATGGAAAGTGATTAGAAGCGCAAACCTGTTTGAACAAATTGATGCTCGATCAGATTTGCCAAGAATCCCTGGCTCGCCCATAAACTAACATGAAAGTGACTTCCCCGGCTTCTCTTCTTTAAAATTCGGTTGCTTTCTGCTCCCCTGCTAAAAGCTACTAACTTTTAGTGGTTTAATACGGAAAACCCATGAGTTGGCAAACAAGTCAAAGTCCTAACATCCCTTGGCAAAATGCAACACAGAAAAGGTTCCATCAACTTCTGATGGTTTTCGTATTATGCCCTGGGAATACACCCACTGGGTATTGACCATTTTGTTTCCGTGCTGCGACCTCGGACCTCGTCCGACTCATTTTGACTCCAGGCCTCTGCCAAGGTGGGCTCCAGCAGGATGCCGCAGAGGCCCCTGCAAGCGTCGCCTTGGAGATACAAATGGCTGTGGCTCAAAGAACGGAATTCCAAAATGGCTTACCCTGGTAAGTGGGTTCCATGGGCCCAAAACCTGCGGTTTGCCCCTCCGATCGTTTAATTTTGAGCCACACCCACTTTGGATGGTTGCGACCTCCAGTTCGCACCCAAGAAGCAACCTGGATTCGGAGGATTCCCCTGTAAAATACCGAGAATCGTTCTGGTTTCAACCACGGTTCAAAGTGGTGCAAACGGAGTGTGTCCACAGTGTTCTCTCACAGAAACGGGATCCCCCGAGTGGGGGACTCCTGGAGGGGACTTCCGGGCTCCATGCGGGAAGTACTATGAAACGTGGCTCCGAGGGAATCCGCACTTCCACTTAGCACTGGCAAGGGTCCTATGTTATTAGCATCGCACACAAGAGTTGAACAGAACCCAAGCCTATGGTGCTTTGACGCTTCATATCTTATGATGATAATAGAGTATAGACACATTCGGATTATATGCATCTTGGCTTCAGATCAGGATGGCACTCAACCACTAGTGACCTCGTGGATCTCATGTGAAAATTGCCCTTGCGAGAGCTGCACCCCATTTGGGACGCCGAACACGATTCAGCCGAAGTGAGCACCGGCTCTCACCCGATCACTCTCACCGATGGGAATCGAGTCTTTTCCCGTACCCCAAGACAAGTCCAGCTACACTCACACCATGCCAAGCAGCGAAAAACATTCTGTTGAGCCGGAGCCATTGGCTGGCTATGGCAAGGCTGGTCTGTTCATTATCCTGATTGCGTTTCTTTTCATCAGCAACATTCATTCAAGCATCAACCATGCTAACTGCTGCAGCGCGGCTTGTCAGCGGCATGTCCTGCGCTGCGATCACTTCGGGACCTATCCACTCAGCAACAAGCAGTGTTCCCACTGGTCCGGGAAAATGCAGAGTTGCAACTCAACACACGAGAGCGGAATTCGACATCTGCCCAAAGTTGGATCAGCATGAAGATTGTCAAACCACACGATTACCACCATCAACAACCAATCCAGCAAACAACAGAATACCAGTATATCTGCTTATCTCAGTATATTGAAGGGTGAGGACACCGAGCCCCCATGGTGGCTGCCCACATTCCACAGCATCAGGACACATCAGGACTACGAGCAACCGAAACAAAATTGGCGGTATTCATGGCAGTCCATTTTGGGCTGCCACTGGCCCGGGCACAATACCCAAGTGAACACTGGAGTCGTGGTCTTTAGCTAAAGAGTCTCATTTGGTCGATACGTGGAGGTGTCAAAACTTGGGAACATTTCGAGCCTCCAACCGTTTGTCTGCGGAGAGCGGCCCCTGTCGTGCAAAAGCCCTAAGTCGGCTCTGCCTAGCTGCAACAGAATTCAAACTTCCGGAAGGGCAGGCTCGACGTTGAACCCCTGCGCCCGCACAAAAAGTTAAACTTGTCGCTAGTCAGTTGGACAGTGGGGAAGCCATCATGTGTACCTTTCAACATGGGACCTCTCGCGTAAGTCTTTAGTCGGGAAAGGGAAAAGGTGCGGAACTGCTGGACGAAAATCATGGGGTTGTCGGTTTGTCTCTTTTGGATTTCTATTCTCAAAAAGGGCGCCCTATTCTGAGAACCCGGATGCTAGCACCCGATCATTCCCAACGTCACCTTTTAAGTGGATATATGGGGTATGTGTCAAAATAGAGGGACCCCAAACTGCATGCCCCCTAGCACCCAGCCGTCAATTTCGCAAAACAGCTCTCTGGGGAAAACTGGATGTCCCGAAATAGAGGGGCCATTAAAAAAAAATGGATGTGTCAAAAAAAGGACAATTTTAAAAAATGGATGGTGCCCTGTTCTCCCTTTAAGCCAAACCGGACCAAACCCAAAAAGATCACCCAAAGACAAACATCCCAGGGAGACTCGATCCCCTCATCGATCGTTCGAATCCAAGTCCTTGGCCACTGCCCAAGCCACAGGCCCCGCCTGTCAGAAACCCGTGGCTTTCTCGCATGGTCACGAAGATCGATTTCTTCGGAACACGAGGCGTCCATTTGTTTTTCTAAGCCCTGTGGAAAAATATATGTCCAGTGATAGACTCCCTTTAAAATCAATGGGGAACATAACAACTGACCTATGTTTAAGCAAATGGAAGAAGCTCGCGAGTTCCGGGGCCCTTAGGCCCTGGTTTCGGCAGGTTCCCCGTGGAGAGAATCAAGGGAGCTCCGGACTCCTTAGGCGTCCTCTTGGAGGAGTTTAAGAAACCATCCGAAGAACGGCCACGCAACACGGCGAAGTTGGCCTGAGTCCAGTTTCTGTCATCAAACACATTCTGCAACGTTTCGAGTGTGTCGCTGTTGATATTGGAGGTAAAGGGCGCTCTAGTGACTTTGAGGAGGATGAATGCATTGACTAGTTGACATGTAGCTTGAGGTGTTCTGATAGCGCCTGCTTGGGTCACTTGGCGATTCGGCACATGCAGCACACATATGCAGCATGCCTGGCGCCCGCTGGAGCTATGATCGGTAAACAATGGGCACCCTGAAAGCTCCCACATGTCTGGCTGCAGGGCCCGCGCCAGCACCCGAAAACATGGGCCAGGTGGCACAAAGCGGGATTCAGCTCAGAAGGCTTTAAGCGAGTGTGCTACATATTTAAACAGATCCACAGATCCTCACACGTAGCGCGTTGAACCGAAACTCGGCGCAAGTAATCAATAAACCAACATGACATCCGAATAGAGGAGTGTCTGTTTTAGTTGGTTTGCGTCACGGACCCTCCGTCAGCGCACAGGCTCTAAAGTACCATCAACAGTCATCATCTAACCTAAGTTGGAGATTCATGTTCATGTGCGGCTATTTCAGCTTCAAAGTTGCATAGCTCGAGCCTCGCCTGTGTCATCCAAGATGCTTACAACAGAACGACGGGTCAACAAGTACCTAACATGACTGTCATGACTAAAGGTCACAAATTCCCAAACACCTGCCACTCAGAAACAATATGCAACAGTCTTTCGCTCCACGTCAGAAATTGGATTGGCTGGAGGCGCCGGGCAACTCCCGCCTCGCCCAACACCGGCGCCATTCGAAAGACCTCCGGCGACGCGGAAAAGCTCCCAGGATGGCGGGTGTTTCTCACAGGGATTCTTGGTTGACGTTGGAAGGGGAGCATGTTTTTCAGATTTTAGCAGTTAAGTGGTTGGAATTCAACCACTACACCACAATAAATTATAAGCAAAAACGTGGAATGTTTCCCAACAACCATGAAGGATCGATCAACCGGACAAAGATGAAACAGGACATGACTTGTGGCACCCAAAGGATCCCTGGTAACTTTCAACAAAACACATCGTCAAACGCTTGATGTGTCAAAAGTCATCCTCAGGTGCGTAGATTCTGTTGGGTACCATGTGGATTGAAGCTGGGAGTGTTCCTCAGTGCGCCCCCTGGCGTCTCCTTTGCTGAAGAGGCAATTTCAGGCAGGTTGTCTCAAACCGATTTGGCCTCTTTGCATTTGTGATCATTGGTGAGCAATGCTGTCCTTGGCCCGTTGCTTTGCATCCACTTGAGCGCTGGCTTGAGCTCACAGGCTTTTCGGGCTTTGGGACCTGTTCCGGCGGATGACAACTTGCAAATGCCTCGCACCTTCTACATCCGACATAAATGGCTCAAACATCACCACAATATCTCCATGACCTTCACTTTTCCTTGGCTAAGGGCCATGTTCCACTCTGTTCACCCGTTGCTCGGCTCAAGCTGTCGGCCGTCCCTTCGTCGCCATGTAATCACGACCCAGACTTTCACATGCCGAAGCCTATGGGCCATTGCCATGCTTGACCGGCAAAGCATTGCAGAACAAGGCACAGGAATGGGACCTTCGAAGCACGCACCCTGAGGGGCCCTGTAAATTAAATTTGGAGGTTGATGCCAGTGCGACCACCTTTCAAGAGAGAGTTTGGGACCCACTTTCAATGATCAGGGAAAGTCCAACAAACCTAGCTTACTATTATACGGATACGTTTCCTGTCCAGAAACTTGGAATATGAGTTGATGGGCCAAAGCAAGAGGAAGTCAACGTGGCAATCGGAGCAGAAATTCCGAATTCGCGGACAGCCGAGGTGTAACCCAGCTCCCGTGTAGAGAAAAGCAACGTCCGACTGGAGCTCCTTCTGCGTCGGGTGAGGAACATCCACCCAGAAGCAAGATTCCATGTTGTTTTTGCTGCATTCTACGGAAGGTGAGCCACAATCAATATCTATTGTGTGAGCGTACCATTTGTAGCCAATGTCCTTCTCTTGACTGGTGCCTAGAGTAGATGACCCCACCCCCAAACCCCCAACCTCCGCAGAATCGTAGTTCCAGCCATGGCCTTGAGCATATGGCCGAGGCCAAGAAAGGGAAGGTTGCCAAAGCGGAAAGCACCACTACCCTCCCACCAACTGATGTGGAACCCACCAGAAAACCCTTGCAAGAAATAAGAATAGTTTTGCGAGCACCCCTTGTCTGGTTCCATGCTAGTTGGTGAGAGGGTAGGCAACACGTTCAAGGTTTGCATGCTTCTCAAGGGAGTATCTGTCAAGGAACGCTAGGGCTGCCAATGTGTTTGTTGTTTGTCCTTTTCATCGCGGCAAGCAAGGACAAATGGATTGGTGCGGTGTTGACAGCCACAAAGACAAACACATACACACACATACCCAAAGTGCGTTTGCCCGGCCAAGCCTTGGAAGCAACACTGCCAACAGTAAGACAAACGCATCGTCGCAGGCTCGTAATGGGCAACGCTTGCTGAGACATGGCAGCAGGTCCAGCATTCAACAGGGGGGTACTGGCAGGAGTCACAGGATATGATTTTTGACAGTTGCAGTTTACTGGTGAGTTCGCACAACCCTGCAACTCTTTGTGGTACAATAGGAGGGACTTTGCAGGACCCCTGCACTACGTAGTGTGAGAACCTCTCTTGAATAAGAGCTCGCTACTCGCAGTCGGCGGTCTGATTTGTTGAATCACAGGCCCTTTGAACAAATGCAAGATCGATTTGGTTCAGCCCCCTGGAAGAAAACAACATCTCCAGTAGTGATTCATTCCCTTAAAACCAACAAGGAGAATAAAAGACACATGGTCTTACCCAAATCAAAGTTCCCTGAAGAGTCATTTGGACTAGTGGCTTGGGGAACCTCTTGAAATCACCCAAGCGCCCAAGCCAATCCCCCAATCCAAACGACCCAACACCCAATGGGGCAGACCAGGTGACTTCAACCAACTGGTGTCAACTTTTTAAGGGCTCCCCCCCTGAATTGAATGAATTTCCCCTCAAAAGGGGAACCAAACCAACTAATTGCTGTCCTCCGTTGATCAGGTGACACTATGACCCCCAAAGTTAGTGAAATGCCCTTGGCTTCCCTTTTGAACAACACCCGAAAATGGCACCTCGACAAAATTGTCAAAAATAGAGGCAAAAGGAAACTACGATTGAGTTGTTTCGGCCAGCGGCCACGCAAGTCCAAGGGGCGGAGGAGCACAGTGCCTTCGTGCTCGGCATCTAGCTTGCCGTCCTGGATTTTCTGGCTTCGTCTCACTTGGTTCCCTCCCGTCAAGGGACAAATGAGCAACATCCGCGTGCTGTGGGGATCCGCGCCACGCCCATATTTAATCTACGCTGGGCCTGGCAACCTGTGTGTGGAGCCTCTCGGGCCAAAAATGTAGGGCACGTACCCCAAGAGAGCATAGTATTATAGTAATTTTCCTTGGGGCAGGTGCACCAATCGTGCCCTACCAACGAATCCTGGCGGATTGCACCAATGTTTGGGGCGCCCACGCGAAACTCCGAACGGAACGTGTTCCAAACCCGGAGCGGAAGGCTGCGCTTCCTACTAGTATGATCATGATGTTTGTGTACGACATGTTGTGTGCATAGACTAATGCGGATTTGTATATTTTATATAAGATTAAATACAAATGATACAAATCAAAGCTTGCTCGTACATGCGTATGTAGCGCATCCTTGTACATACATATATATATATATATATTTGTATTGTATGGTACCCCCCTGGAATAGTCAGGTTGTTTGGCCAGAAATTGACATTTTGGCTGTAAAAATGAATGTAAAACACACGTTCCAGCTTCTAAATTGAGGCTCTAATTCTAGCACCGGTACTTAGTGCAATCCAGGATGTGCTAGCACGTGCTAGCACATCCTGGATTGAAGATTGAAGATTTCTGGCAATTCTTTCTGGGAATCTTCAAACCTGTACTTAGGGCAATCCAGGGTGCGCGTGTGCTAGCACATCCTGGATTGAAGATTGAAGATTGGAGATTCTCTGACAACTTGGATTGTTGAATCTTCAATCTTCAATCCAGGATGTGCTAGTCGAAAACCTGCTCACCTTCGACTCTGGCACATATTAGTTTGTCCTAGGATGGATTGAAATGAAGATTTCCGGAACAACTGGTCTGAGAACCTTCAATCTTCAATCCAGGATGTGCTAGCTACGTGCTAGCACATCCTGGATTGCCCTAAGTACATATTTGAAGAATTCCAGAAAAGTTGTCAGATAATCTTCAATCTTCAATCCAGATCCTGGATTGCCCTAAGTCCGGATTTGAAGAATCCAAAAGGCAGACTGCGAGCGCACGTTGTCGGAATCAAATTGTGGATGTGCACTTGCGCTGCCTGCATTTGGCCAGGGTTGAAATGTTGTTGACAACTTTACAGGTTTTTTGTGGACTTGAGGGCTGGCCAGGATGGAAGATTCTCAAACACAAGATCTGGTCGATCTTCAATCTTCAATGCAGGGGGCAAATCCTTAATGAGTCTAGAACAAACTGTCAAGCTCTTGGGGGGCCACGATTGAGGATGTTTGTTTGTGGAATCTTGTATATTCGATCTTCGATCCATGGCAACACAATCTGAGCAAATGCTGAAAACACTGTTTTTTACAGCATTTCTGCCCAAGAATAAGATCTATGATTGGAAACACTTTCCGTCATTGGCTTGGCTCAGTTCTTGCTTTGTTCAAAACACATTGGGTTCGAGAAGGACAATAAGCCTTTCAAAATTGAGTTTGGTTCCAAGTTCATTTGGCCATGACAATGGCTATCTTCCCCAGTTGGTTTTTGAAATACACAAGAAACTGCAAACGATTCAATTGAATCTGGTTTGAACTTGAAAGCGTTTTAAGCTGGATATCCTTCCTTTACTTGAATTTCACTAGTGGTGCTTGGCTATGATTGAACCAACTTAGACAAGCAACACACAACTGACATAGTTGCGTTGCAAACTGAGGTTCAAACAGACTGAACTAGCATGTACATGGAATTATGCACAACACTTGAGTTAACACTTAAATGCAACGACATGCAGTACGAAGGAGTTCATTTTCCAAGTTGCTGATTTGCTGAATTTCGCTGCCAAACAAAAAACATAAAGACAAAAAATAGAGCTGCTACAGTCGCGTTGAAGCTGCCAAAGCATACTTCGCGCACTACTCTTGTGCTGAAAAGTTGTGCTTTTTGAGCTGGAGCTGCCAAAGTGCACTTTGCATACTCCAACGTGACTCTAAGTGCACTTCGCGCACGCCAATGTGATGGCCACATAACTCCCATTCAACGTTGAGCTTAACTTCTGCTTGATTGGAACTTGCTTTGCATGTAGTTGCACGTCCAGTCAGTTCATTTCAGAGTCTCAAGGCAAAAACCCAAGTTCTGGCCAAAAACCTGAGTATTTCAAGGGGTTAGCATATGTATATATATATATATGTGTTGTATCATATGTATATATGTATATGCTGGTTTGCATCAATGAACGACATTGCTGAGTATGAATCTATTTGTTTACATGCATCTGCTCGTAGTGCAATTCATAATGAATCATCATCTTCTCTAGGGTTGCGGAAACCGTCGCCCTCAAGGCATCGAAAACTGTCTGAAGGAGACCAATCACAAATCAAAAAGGCACCACAGCGTTCTTTACAAAACGCGGCACCTCTGCAGCAACGCGTAGCACATTCTCACCCCCCTTGAATTTCCAAAGGGATTAAGCAGGAATTGGCCAACAGCTGCAAATGACAAGGCCGCGACCTGTTTGTGAGGACCTGTTTGTCAATCCACTCTTTGGAACAAGGCTTGGGAGGCAGAACCACTATCCCCTGAGCGCCCCACAAAAGCCTGTAAGGCTTCCAACAAACGCATGGTTTGATTTCCTCTTGAGAAATGTGGATGGTACACCGCACTGATTCAACAAGCAAGGTAACTCGCATGCAAATGGCACCTCAAAAAACCGGCCAAGGCAGGCAGGCAGCCAGGCAGCCAAGCTGCTCGCGCTGCTACGCGTTTTTTTTCGGGTTTCTGCCGCGCCCCGGCGTTCTGCTTTGCCGCTGGAAAGTTGGGGACACACCCAGCCACAGCGAGCACCAAAACTGTACAAAGTTCACCGGGTTCTTCAAAACTGACGAGATCCCTCACCCGTAGCACTAGAGATTGTGAGACCCATACAACAGGGGAACTGCCATCTCACATGAGGACTGAGGGTTGTTTTTGAACAACCCAGGCAAACTCATGTGTCACAATCAGGTTAGCTCGTGACCGTGGCGCGCTTTACACACGAGTCCAGTTGCACCAAGAGCTTAGGTGTAAAACCCGCCATATGCATGTTGTGCTGCAGCTGCCCCGCTCGCCATTTACAACGCATATTATGTGTGCTCTTGAAGTTTCAGCAAAATCCTGCAGCGGGTAACATGCATTTGCAACCAAAACCTGCACTGTCTGCGATGGCCAAGGAGGTTCCAGCCTTGGACACGCCCAAAAAAGGAGGGGGCTTTTGCGCAGAAACGTCGTTCAGCACGGCCTCCAACGTTCAGTCGCTCCTTTGGAGCCAACAGCGGCGAATTAGGTGGACGCAGGGCTGTCGCTGTCAGAACCGGTCCCGCTGCTGTCCTCAAGGCCTCAATGCCCGGGTCCACGGAATGCGGCCGAGCCCCGCAAAAAAACAAGCAACAAGAAACTAAAGACTCCTTGACTCCCCTGAAAGGTGCTGCAAGGCCAAAAGCCTCAAGGCTTCCCTTCGTGAAAGGCAATGTGTCAAGCAACCCCGGTGCTGAGAACCTTTGGTGTGCATTTTGGCGAGGTGCGGCATTGTGCAGGGTCCAGCATTTACTCGCGGAGAGAAAGCACGCAATTGTGTCCTGTGGATTTGTTTGGCCAGGTCCCAAAACAGCAAGTGGATGTCACAGCAAGTGGTCCAAGCCTTCCAAATCTTTCAGCTTCGGCGTGCGGCTCTCATGCCGCCGGCTGCAGCCCAATGCTTGCCTTACGCGCGCGGCCTCCCACTTTCTCAAACACGAGAAATAAACATGTAGTGCATACAAATAAGCGGCATTCAAAATATGCAGTTCCCGTAGAATCTAGTGAGTCCCCTGCCTTTGTGGAACAAGCAGCGAGCCTCCCAAAGCGCTTCCCGGAACAACCATGTACTGATGGATAACGCTGTTGGCTGTGAGAACTCCGGAGCACACAGCGGATACCAACACCCCGTCACCGCAAGTCGAAGACCTGCTATATTATAGAAGGCGTTGTTCAACATGAACCCCGACAAAGGCTGGTCGGCTTGCAAATGAAATGTTGGGATCCCAGCGGTCTCCCCGTACTTGTTGAGACCCATAGCGGTTGTTGGGGAAATGTGTTGCTTTGACGGATCGGTCTTGCCATCTTCAGCTAGCGTGGGAAAGGAACCGCAAACTGGCAACCAAAATGGGATGCTCAACATCGCCTGCAGCGGAACTAGAGCTGAATCCTTGCCTTTAACACAATTTGGGAAGAAGCTTGTTTGGACCAGTTTGGCATACACTCGGGAACTATACGTTTTCCAATCTCGTAGTTCAAAACAGACCACCCCTGCATCCAACAGAAAGGGTCCGCGCAATTGACGTCCTCTACATGTGTATTTATAAATGGTGTCTTCAAGGGAAAGCACACAATTCTCCGAACCCCTCAACATGTCCACTTTCGTGGACCACCATAACTAAAGCCAAACAAACAAAACACTTTAGCATGAGTGGACAAATCACTTTCGTGGACCCAAGGAACATGACGCACAAATTCTGCGCAGAGGCAAGTTGCTTGGCCAGGTAGAAGCTCGTCGGCTCCACAAAGGTCACTGCAGCCGAGAGGATTGCCATAAACGGCCGGCCGAGAAGGACCAGCATCCTACGGCCGAAAATTGGTTGCCTTCCCGAGCTGATGGGTGGCTTTCCAGTGGCTTCTCGTCAAAGCAAGCAAGCAAGCAAGCCAGCGAGCGAGCGAGCAAGCCAGAAAGCAAGAAAGCAAGAAAGCACCCAACGACCCAACCACCCAACAACCCAACAACCCAACCAGCGAACGAACGAACGAACGAGCAAACAAACAAACAAACAAACAAACAAACAAACAATCAAACAAACAAGCCAACGCAACACACAAGCACACAAACACAAAAAACAGACAAACACACAAACACACAATCAAACAAACGCACAAACACACAAACACACAAGCACACAACACCACGCAGACAAGCACACAACTGACACAAACACACAAAAACACGCAGACAAGCACAGAAACGCACAGTCGCACAGTCACACACACACACAAACACAAAAACAAAAACACGCAACTACACAAACACACAGAGAAACACACAAAAAAAAAAAAACAAGCAAGCAAGCAAGCAAGCAAGCAAGCAAGCAAGCAAGCAAGCAAGCAAGCAAGCAAGCAAGCAAGCAAGCAAGCAAGCAAGCAAACAAACAAACACACCTGCTGTGGATGAACAAAATCAGCTTCGCGCCGGCTGATATGACCAAAGCCGATGAATTTTAGACAAACAAGCTCCTTAACAAGCACCCGGACCCTCATGGTGGGCAGTCGTGATTTAGCATGTTTTAGCCTTCCCGGGGCGTGCCACCACCGGCCAAAGCTTCCCTTGAATTGGGATAATCTTGGGGCATGGCCCGTCACATAGTCAACAAATACCTGTGCCTTTAACTGAACTTTTCGAGCATGATACTAGTTCGAGCCAATTTGGTCTATGACAGGGGTTTGTCTTTTTTTCTGATTTTTCCACCCACTTTACTGAATTGCAATGATTTCAAGCCAGCCTCACCAACCGCTTTTGGGATAGGGACACTGTTTTGGACATGGGAAACAGCCATGGCACGTAGCCTCCGCCGAGGCGCCAGGTCACCGTGAAGGGGCACGTCGTCTTCATCCCGGCCGGGCTGGCCGCGGCAAACCGCGCCGGCATCTGCCTCAGGCCCACCTGGCCACTGGCATGTCAAACGTGCCTTCAATGATGAAAATGATGATGATGATATTGATGATGATGATGACAATGATGATGATGATGATGATGATGATGATGATGATGATGATGATGATGATGATGATGATGATGATGATGATGATGATGATGATGACAATGATGATTATGATGATTATGATGATGATGATGATGATGATGATGATGATGATGATGATGATGATGATGATGATGATGATGATGATGAAAATGATAATGATGATGATGATGATGGTGATGATGATGATGATGGCATGAACATGCACGTTCACGCACCTTCCCAAGAACTCATATTTCCCACATTGTCAGAGGGCGAAAATGGAAAATGTCATGCTCAAAGACATTGAAGCAACCAGCCAATTGCGCACACCTGTGCCGCCATACAGCGAATGTGCTACTCTACAGGATCAATACTTTTAGGTGTCCTTCAAAGATCTCATGTCCAAATCTCCTGGGGTCAAGCGCAGCATCACCCTTCCCTTGCTAGCCACGTGGGTCGCCCGGAATTTCCGAGCGGGGGCGCCCCTCGAAGCCCCGAGCGCGAAGAAAAATTCCCGAGCCCAGGGGCTTTGGCCGTTTGGCCGTTTTGGAGATGGCCCTGAACAATCTCTGACCAAAAAGGCCCACGACAAAAACACACACACACACGAATAATTCCGTATGTTTATGCCTTTTGGCCTTTTGTTTATTTATATTAAATAACAAAAAACCAAGAACCATATGGAAAAAAACATGGAAAAGCACAAATAAAAGAAACAACCTGCCATCCGCGAGACTCGGCCTCGTGCATATTGACCACAAAGGTCACCCCGATGGGCGCCACAAGGCCAATGCTGGACAGTAGGACCCAGCAGTTTACCTGCATATCGGGTGGTTTCTCAAAAGTCATGTCATGATCATGGGAACGACATGTTCGTCATGACCTTTCTTCGTGCTAATTTCAATTGGTACAGTACCCAGAGCCCTTGTTCAATCAGCCCAACTGTGCAGTTTCAAATGTAAGAACCCTATGTCCGAACTGTTGGTTTTGCATTGGATTTTGTCCTTACGCACAGTTCCAATCGCTGCGTTGCAACCAGAACTATGCCGCATGCCGTTCAAGATCTTCGCCGGGATAAAACAAAAACATATTTCCTGCAGGGATCAAAAAAGACAGGTGCAGTAGTGGCATGTTTTCTACATTCAACACCTGCCCTAAAGCTCAAGCAAGCCACGAATCCGGTACACAACATCACTCAAATAAGCCTTGAGGCCGGAAGGATACATCAGCGGCACTCCCCTACCGAAGCCCAGCTACCGAACCCCCAACCACCCGCCCCAAACTCAACCAGCATCAACCAGCTCCCATGCAAGCCGGGCGCTGCAAAAACCGGCCACTCCGGGCCGCGCTTGTCCAAGTTGACCAGCAGCAGCGGCAGCAGAAACATTATGAAGCCCACAACCCCCAGGGAGGCCTCGCGAATGTGGAATCTAGGGTGGCCATCCTCCACTGGGATTGGGACTCGGTTGCTTTCTGCTCCACGGCTAAAAGTTTAACCTTTAGTGGTTTAATGGACAACCCATCAGTTGGCAAAAAGGTTGAGTCCTAACGTCCAAGCAGAATGCACCGAAGTAGTGATACCCATGTACTGTATACCCAGTGCTTACGTATCAACACGGTACTTATGTGTGCATACGCGCGTACTTCGATATGTATAATTCGATATGTGTTTCCGTAGCATGTACATGCGCATGTGCTATGTTCCGTCGAAGAGGTATACGTGGTTTGGGGTCGGCAACCCTGTAGAGAAGAACAGGAAGGAAAAAAAGCACATCTTTCTTTTTGAAGCACCTACCACGGTTACCAATCATGTTGACCCAGGATGAATAAACCCGTCCCATTGTTAGGGGGGTGTTCCCTCCAAAAGTGATATGAATCCCCACTAAAAGGGGAACCCCCCCTATGAATCAACCAGGCGTAAATTAATCGGGATTCACACGGACTGTGGCCATGCCGGAGCTGCCACAGTCAAACTCAAAAATCGGAGAGCCACGGAGCACCGGTTAAGCCCAAATACCCAACATAACTATGGGTCAAAAGCCCGTACCCCCAGTGAGCATCCCAATCCTCACTAAAATAGATACCATTGGCTTTGACCCACAGCCACATCCACTTCCCAACATCTCCAGCCCGCCTCACACGCATTGCCGGATTCATCCCGTTGCCGAGAGAAAAACAAAGTGATTCCCGCAAGCACTCCGTTGCTGGAATTCTGGTTGTGTGCCACATTGTGCCACTTTAAAAAGCTTAGATACATGTATTTACAGCTTTGTACGTGTGCTGAATACCAGAACAACAACATTTGATGTTGCAGCATGTTCCTGCCGCTTCTTTACAACCCCATCCGGGGGGGGGTGGGCGGTTCATGCGCGCATTTGGTGCATGCGGAATGCTGGGCTTCCGGGCGTAGTAACTCCAGGCGGGCGGAGTGGAGCAGCACTGGATCCAGCTCATACAGCCCATGGTGTCCAGAATGCCTGGCTCAAAACCCACAACTTCCGGATCCGGGCAAACTAAGGCCTCCTTCTGTCTTTTGAAAAATGCCGAACTTCAATTCCCTAGCAGCCAAGTACCCTCCCACCTAACACGGGCTCCCGTGCTGGCTTTAGAAAAATGCCGAAGTTCAATTCCCTAGCAGCCAAGTACCCTCCCACCTAACACGGGCTCTCGTGCTGTCTTTAGAAAAATGCCGAAGTTCAATTCCCTAGCAGCCAAGTACCCTCCCACCTAACACGGGCTCTCGTGCTGTCTTTTGAAACATGCCGAAGTTCAATTCCCTAGCAGCCAAGTACCCTCCCACCAAACATGGGTTCGTGCAAAAAGGCCCCTTTCCAAGAGGAAAGAAGCCTTACAGGGGTCTGTGCAAGTGGCTGTGGTTGTCAAAACCAATGGGATCCCATTTTTGGGGGGGTCCCGGTGCACCACCCATTTTAGAACCTATTTTCGTGGGTGGGGAGAGGGGGATGTTCACTGCGGTTACGATTTGGCTTTTGACCCATTGCCGCAGCCAAGGGGGAGGAGTTTGGGCGCTGCAAAAAGCTTGCCTTGATCTTCCAGGCATCAGCTTCTGAGCTCTAGGATTTCAGCTTGATGGTTAGTAAGCCTCTTGCAGAATTTGCATTTCCCCAGTTTTTTTTTTCGTACCATGATCATACAGGGCGTGTGCCCACGCAATCCTTCTTACGAGAAAAGTGGGCAAGCCCCTTGGCACATTTCCATGCCAAGGGCTACACGAGACCCACCGTTTTTTGCAGCCCGCCCGCATAAAAACTAAAAAAAAAAAACACTTCGCGGACGCAGCGCTTGCAGCGCCACCTGTCACCGGAGGTTTTGCCGTGCAAAACCTGGACGCTTTTAGAAGAAGATCTGTGCATTCATCACCAGCTGGAGGGGAGGTGCGGATATTGGCCAGGCTGACCCCTGGCCTGCAACTGTTCGACCCCGAAAAAAAATGGGGGGGTTACAGGTCTGGAAAGGAGTTGGGTGGTGCTGATTTCTTGGGTGCCCCCTTTTGGCAGACAAGCCCATCCCGCCCCACGTGACACTCGCCGAGTTGCTCAGGAGCCAGCTGAAGGCAACGATGCGGAGGTTCACCCGCAAATTCTGGGAAAAGGATGAGACATGACGACGGTGGGTGCTCAAAACTTCTAGCACCGCCAAAATCATCTGAGATCAAGCTGACAAGATTAAAAGATCGGAAAAGGTTTGGCAAGGGTCGACAAAAACCCGCCTCTAATTCCAGAATCATGACCTCTCGCCCTGGGTTTCCGTGTTCCCGTTGGCCAACCGAGGGAAACTCTGGGACATTACATGAAACGAGCACTGCCCCCCCCCTTCACGGACGCACCCTACAAATTGACCAGGCCGTGAGGTGCGAAACATCTTTCGGCAGGTGGCGGCGCTCACCATGCCGCTGATGTCGAGGCCTAAGGTGTGAGCCTGGCGAAGCTTCTTGGTGTAGATGCCGGCCTTCATGAGGACCTCCGGTGGCCACAACCATCGCTGCAACTCGCGTTTTGTTCTCCCTTTTTTGGCCATGATCTGGCCTAAGCAACAGCGGGCAGCACTTGCCACACATTTGGACCATGGCAGTATTTCAAGGAAAACCAAAGGGATGTTCGCACAGACTAGCGGTTTCTTGGGCTGGCACCCTGTTGACACATATTTCAACAATGATTGCTTAAACAGCCGCCTTTCGGATTTCGTTTCAAGGAAACCAGGGCGTTTCAACTTTGCCCAACCCGGACCTGCAGGGTGACAATCACCTCGTCCTGACGAACGGTTGGCCAACCGTCCATGTTTGTGGAGGATCTGTTCGAGGGCATCATTTTAGGGGCGCTCATAAAATTGAAACATTTGCTCGAGGAATCTCCTTTATGGGAAAACCCATATTTTTTTTGAAAAAAAACGAGAAGAAAAAGAAGAAGAACAAAAACGCCACCCTGCCATTTTCACCTGGCTGCCTCAGCTTTTGCCCGTCTACGCAAAGTTTCGAGGCGAAACTGCCTCAACTAGGTCCTCCAGTAGAGAGGTTAGAGCAAGAGTGCCCTTTTGTCTGTAGTCTTTTGTTGGGAAACCCTCCCCCAAAAAAGGGGGAGAGAAGGGCTTACTACTGGGGACCTAGTTAAGGAGAAGCGGACCTTCGCAGCCCTCTGTATTTGTTGGTGTCTTCGGGGCGACCGAACGGTACAGTGTCCTCAAAGCCGGCGATGGCCTCGCGGATGCGGGTCTCGTCGGTGTCGGAGGAGCAAGAGGCCTGGGTACTCTCAGCCTAACATGACCGCTTTGTGCCCAAGTAGCCATGGATCGTAATCCCAACTAAAATAGGTTCTAAAATGGGTGGTGCACCTGCCCCAACATGGTACCATTGGTTTTGACCCACAGCCAATTATTGTTGTCCTGGGCTTTTGGGGGTAAGAATGGGTGCTTTGTGGGGTTCCCAAGTCGGGGCCTGTTCTTGCTGGTTTTCAGTATTCAGCTAAAGACCCAAAGAAAACGGAGCCCAAAACCCCCCCGTCGGGGGCATTTAGGGGTAGAAATGAGTGGGAATGGACGCTTGTGTGCTACGAAGACCACTGAAGTAGTTGACCCTCATAAGTCATACGACTCCACAAAAAACATCTCCCCTGTCAGGCAGGTCCGGACTTCTGGTTCATTCCAGAAACTCCAAAATCGATTCCCTACTGAGAATCAATTTTGGAGATTGGTCTCACGCCCTGCAGCATTTTAGATTTCCCCATCAGAATCTGGTTGCCTTTTTTTTTGGGGGGGGGGTGCCCGGCGCCCCCACACTTGGGTGACTTCCTTTTGGTTTCCCTTTCCCCCAAAAGAATCCCCGGCCTCCGACAGGGACTGGAATGACAAATGGGAGGCTTGCCTGGAGAGCTCGTTGTTGGCCAACTGCTGCTGAGTGATCCTCGGAAACACAACGCAGGGCCAACAACTAGCACTTTTAGCGACATACTGTGGATGGACAAAACCCATTTCGCACCACTTTGAAACCATGGGAAACCATGATTTGTTGGTATTTACAGGGGGGAATCATCATTCCAGGGTTTCGTAGGTGGTGCAGGATTTCGTACATCCACAGTATGAAACTGACAAGTGAATAATCTGTCCAGTCAAGCATCTTGGAGACCCGGGTCACATTCATCAAAATCAGTGCGAAGGGCACCGCCCCATGCCTGAGCGGTTTGATACTGTGCTAGCTGTTCATCTGGCGGGATCTGTGATAAATTATGTTTACCTCCCAAACTATAAAAGCCCAAGCTGAGTGGCTTGTTTTTTGCACTCTAGAAAGCTTATGGATAAGGCGGGGCAACAACCATGTTCAAAACATGGCCAAAGGTAGGTCGTGGTGCGTCAGGTGCTGCCAGACGTTGGGTAGCTCCAGGTTCTCCCAAAACCACGGGATAGTCATAGCGGAGGCCAAGCAAATGTTGAGCATGTGCACGGGTCGGGCGAGCTGGAACTGAAGCCTAGCGAGATTGGGACCCAAAAAAAGGGCGCTGGAGCCATGAATTGAATGCCTGCTTCTAAAGCCTCGCCTGTGAAAACACCTAGGCTGAAAAACAAACTCTTTTGGAGTTGCCTGAATTCACGCGTAAGCACCTTGTTTCAAAGGCTTTCTTTGGTCGACAACAATGACAACATATGGTTTCTACAACTCTCTGTTGTCTCAAACAGCTGTTACTGTTTCAAAAACCTGCCCTTGGTTAAACACATCTTGTTTCAACAAGATGCTTTTGGTTGAACACCCAGCATTGTTTAAATAATCTCAACCGCCTCGTTTTGGCCTTGATGTGCCGGTGGTTCCCCTTCATCTCGAAAACAGGATCTGGTTGAAACCAAATGTTGCAAGCCCTGCCTAGGCCTTACAAGGGCCCGCCCTGCGATGGAAATGAACACCGCCAGCGTGGTGGACAAGATCAGTAGGTTGAAGGCGAAGTCGAGGGATTTCTTTTCCACCCGCTCCGACAGTGGCAACATGGTCCTGGCGATGGTGGCAACCCCTTCAGGCCCCGGTGCGCGCTTTTTGCATAGGAAGTTTGGAAAAAGGACATACAAAAAAAGCCTGCCCCTGGTTGGCGTCGTTTTCCTTTCGGGGGAAGTGGATGAGATGATTGGTATTTCTTGCTCCCGAATCCGGAATACTGACCAACAATGTGCCAATCTCAAACTGTTCAATGGCATCAATTCCAGCAGCCGTGCTCTGAGGCGGCAAGCACTTTGGGCTTAGCAAGTGTCTGGAAGAACCCTCGGCTTCAACTGGTTTGCAGACGACTGGCCGAACCAAACTCTTCTCATTTCGACAATGTGCCTCCGAAGCCTCTGAAAGGAATACTGGAGGTAATTCACAAAGGGTACCCCGATATGAGGTTGAGACCTCAGACAATGCCCTTCAAATTTCTACACCAGCCTGCTTAGATCAATTGAGTCGGCTTACGGCAGTCACGCTTGTACCATTATTTATAGGCATGCTCCAAATTCTGCCACGACAGTAGAAACGGCCCCTGGAAAAGCAAAACAAGAGGACCCAATACCAATGGTCCACCCGTGTGATTTGGTCAATGTTTCGAGGTTCGCAGAAGCCCCACTTGAAAGTAGATCTTCTGGCCGCCTGACATGATGTGAGTGGGGAGTTGGGTCAAGGCAAACGTTTACATATGTAACATCGACACCCTTGTGCCTGCATCGATTCGCGCAGAGAACCAATAGCCCCAGCCCTTCGTCCTAAAACAACACCCTACATCCCTGCGTGAGGTGACCCTAATTGGACCGAGTGAACTCGGGCACCCCCTTTCAGAATAGAGCTTAGTTCAAATCAAACCTTCAGCGAAACCATGCATGCTTGGCCGTCTTTGTTTGTTTGAGCTGCAAAGTAAACCTCCTGCTGTTCGCAGCACTTGAAAAGAAGCCGACCCAGGACACTGCAAGCTAAGATCAGCTAAGGTGCCACATGATGCCCAGCAGCAGACCGAACAAACAGGGCAGCAGGATGGTGCACAGCAGGCTGACACGCCTGCAACATTGAATGCACCCCAAGTAGAAGGGCAGCAAAACAGCGGAACCACTTGAAGAGTCTACAAACCAATCAAGGGTTCGATTTTCCGACTTCATGTTCAGGCCAACATGCGTCAAAAGGCAAACACGCGCAGCGACCCCCGCTTTGCGCTTGAGCGTGGTCGGAGTGGCATGAGGCAGGTCTTGTGCATCACCGTGCCCAGGTAGGCCTGAAGTCGCAGGCATCGATTCTCGGCATCCCTCTTGGTCGTGCGGGGGCCTTTGGTTGATTCCTAAGCCCAAAGAAGCCACATATGGGACCTGAAGACCAGGAATCCTTGGCTAATTAAGAGGAACATTCTGACACAACCACACATAAACAAACAAGCACATATACAGAAACAGAGACGACACGTGTTTTACACAAGTTGGGGTAGACAACTGAAGTGCAATCTGAATGTTACACACAGTTCACAAATCGGAAATCGGAAACCCCAAAGGAGCCTTTATAATGGGCGAGGCAACTGAGTGTCTTGCGTAACAAACTCACCTGCTCCAGTTGCCTAAGGCCCTGGAAATTAAACAAACGACCTTGACATAATATAAGAAAAGGTCGGACGGTCCATTTGCTTGTGAAAATTAGATTGTTGGAGGGCACCCCTTCGGGTTTAAGTTAAACGGAAAGCAAAGGGAAACCATTTGCGCCGTTGACAAACTCCTAAGGATTCTTTGACCAGGAACCCCACACTACAGGTTTGATGACAACCAGGACAAACCCCAAGTCAACGGGTGGTGTGCTTTGTCGAGGGTCTGACTTTGGATTTCCTTCGGGAAACCAAAAAGGAAAGCCACTTGAAGACAGACCCAGGCCTCATAAACGCACCAAAGGCGTGTGTAGATGGAGCAATGCCCGTTGGGGATCACCAGCACGTGCGAGGCGTGGCTCAAAGCCTCGCAGGAGTCCCGATTTTTGCTCCAAGCGGATCTGGCATGAGGGTTGAGGGTTTGCCTGAAAATAAGCCAGTGTGCAAGGCTTTTTTTTACACACAAGGCATGGCATATAGTTTCCTACACCCTCTTTGGCTTACATGGCCTTGCCAGTTCAGTGTGCAAAGCACCTGAAAAGGGGGGAAGTGCCTTTGGCCGTTGGAGTACAGTGGTGCCAATTCCCTTTTGGCTTCGGCACCACCGTTGCTTGCCCGCATGGAATTGTCGACATCTACTTTTGCAAGTATATTGTCTCGACGTGGCAGAAAACAGTCCGAACCTGTTGTTTACCACTGTGGCTCAAAAAACCGGTGCCAAAATGGAACCCTGGTAAGTGGAAACATGGACCAAAACCTGCGTGGCCCCCCCGTTTAACTTTGAGCCACACCCAGATGGTTTTCCTTGAAGGGTAAGGCCATGCACTCTAGGAGTTCGTTGCCCAGGTGGGGCGCAACCTTGTTGGAGGTTAAGCAGCCTTGGCGAAGGGGCTGTGCTCTGGGCTCACCAGCAAGCGCTCCATGTCCAGGTTCTGAGGGTTGCCCAGAAGGCACAAGTACCTCGGCTTCTGAGCGCGGCAGGCCCCAACTAACATCCGCAACCCTTTCAGTGAGCCTCGTCCGTGTGACACGGAAAAAAGCTGTTGCATGGAACCCCCAAAACGGAAGCAGGAGACCCCTCCAAAGGGACACTTGTTGGGCTCAATGACTGGAGTGCTCCCCGGCAGTCATGAATTTTCTTGACACAAGGGCCGAGGATCAGAACCAGCGCCCCCTCTGTTTGCCCCCGTGCTTGCGCATTGTGGGCCCAACCATTGGAAGAGTACCCAAAAAAAAGAAACAAATCAAAGAGCCAGTGGACACACCGTCTTGAGACCTGGAAAGCAAAAACATAGAGACTCATGCGGTTGCCTCCAATTGACAGACGTAACAATGGATAATGCGAGCTGGGTGGCAGTGTGACACACGACCCTCCAGCGGTCCAAGCTACATACACCCCTTCTACTGTGAATATGCTTTAATATCTTCTGGCACAACGCTGGTTTGAATGGTTTCAGAGTCTCAAGCGAAGGAGTTGGGTTGGGAAAATTGTCTTTGGAGGACGTCAAGGAAATCTATGCGTTTGGTCCCACGATGGCGGAAATCAAAGCGCCCCACCGTTTCCCACAGATCCGTGAAGGTTTTGCCAGGCACCAAATGAAAAGAAACATAAGGCCACGGCTGAAGTGGGTTGTTGGTCGCTCCCAACGATCCAGGAAACAATCCACTGGCACCACGAAAGGATTGGAAGGCAGGTCAAAACAGGCAAGGCATTCCATCACTTGCCCAACTGACCCGGGCTAAGGCAGAAGCGTGGCCCTTGTTGCTTTTCTCATGAATGGCAGGGTGGCAAAATAAAGGACCAGTGCTGGCATGGCTAGTCCAAAACTTTGGCTTCATAAGGTGACCAGGGCAGGTCGTTTTCAACTTATTTGACATCGAACCGTGACTGGAAGCCCTTTTGGGCAAAGGACTCCCTTGTTGGCGTCAACGTGAATTTTACGTTTGTCTGATGGCCCATTTCCGGCATTGGCGATGGTCGCCTCTTTCTGAGTGACCCAAGGCAATTAAACTTTTCTGGGTTGACATTGAACCCAAAATACACAAAAGAAGTGGAATCCACTGAGCGACTGGCTTTACAGAAATCCAAAAGCAAGGCTCACTTCAGGCTTCTTGAGATCCAAGGCGCATGTTGAGGAGCCCCCGCACTTGGGGCCACGCACGCCGCACATTGTTGCCTTGTCAAAGCCCCGCTATCGGGCGTTGCGAGCCGGCAGCTTGAATCAAAAGCGAAGCAAACCCAAGAAGTATCGCCAGCAAACCCAAAGAGCCTACCGTCCGGGCCGCCTCAAACCAGTGATTTGCAATTGTTGACCCCATAGCTGTCGTCGGGGAACAACAAGCTTCTTGTTCACCCCCTGTAGTTGTTACCTCCATTTCACCTTTGGGTTGGGCCAGCAAGTTGGGTGTCGAAACGATACAGGGTCCATAGTTCTCACGCAACTTTTGGCCCGGAAGCAAGCCAGCCCCAAGGCGCCTGCACAGCTTTGAGTCAAGAATCGGGAGCTTGGGTAAGCTGACCACAGGGGTCCAAGTATTCCCTGTAAACAGCAGAGGAAGAAACGTTAAGTAACATTTGCCCAGAGGTGATCTTCAAACACGGCAAGGGAAGTACAAGGACTGATGCCACAGGAGTCTCCTAACCAAAAAACAAAACGTTGACCCCGGCCGGATTGATTCCTTGCGGATTTTAAGGGGGAGTGTTTCCTCCAAACATAAGATATTCCCCCTGACATGGGGTTGTCAAAAAGGGTGATGCAATCGCAAAAGCCCGTTCCAAATGCCAGAAACTGCCGCCGTGTGCATTGGCTCACAGGGACGAAGCTGCACATGCCCAAAGGCACCAGTTTCGGAAGAGATTCCAGAAGATCGGCGCACTGCGGCAGGCATGAAAGCAAATATCCTTCACGTTGTGCTGACAGTGCATTCCATTGGAACATAACGAAACCCTTGGTGTTGTCAAAGCGAGCCTCTCGTGTACACAAGCAGGGCAGTACGTCAACATAAACGCGTACACATACGCAAACCAACCTATGGTGTTGCTATCCGAAAAAATGCTTCGCGCCTGCTCCTTTTCAGTCCAACAAATGACTGGAAACAAATGCCGTCTTTTTTGAAACAACCAGAGGCTATGCTGCATGTTGGCACCCGCCTCTCATTCTTCCCCTGCACACAAACTATGAAGCAAACTCTGCAAGGGTAGCAATTTGACTCAGAACGCGTGCAATCGGAAGTGTCAGACCACTCCAACTCAGCCTCCTTATGTAGCGTTGACTCTTCTAGCGGACTATGGCAATCGTGAACGGCCAGGATTCATAACCGTTGGCGCCCTGAAGGGTGATGCCATTCCTTTGATCGTGACACTGGATTTAGCAAAGCGAACATTCCTCAACCATATTTCCTCAAATAGTGGTAAGGGGAAGGGGAACAACAAACCTTCAAAATTGGTTTCAGGGAGCAAATATGCCCCATTTGCAAATGGATCCTTCAGTTTTGGAGAGACACCCACCGAAACATGTGCTAGTTAACAGGGTTGCTTAAAGGATACATCAAAAATCCAGCCGAGCTGATTTTCGGACGGATCCTTGTGCATCAGCTGGCGTTTCGGTGAAAAGGTGGAATGTATCCTTTAAGGGGCGCTGTCTTGAGGTTACTTCCAACAACAAGTCAATTGGGGCTGCCCTCAGATGCCCTGCTCAAAGTTTAAAACTTTTAATGGGCTAACTGGAAATACTAGCACTGAACCCAAAAAATACCTCTGGAAAAGCCATTGCACCAATTTCCTTTTTGCAAAGGGGGTGTGGGTCAAAGGTAGGGTAATTAACCCCAAAACGGGTCACCCGATCGGTACATGGAAAAAGCCGACTAAGACCTGGAACAAATGCCCCTGGCTCATAAAGACCCCAAAAATGGGTTACCCTTTCCAGCCATACCCCCAACATCCATCCGCGTCTTCCCTTGGGATCCATCCGCGCCCAAGCCCTTCGCTTCGACGAGGCGATACGAGGCGCCAAGCTCAAAGAGGCCCTCGGCCCAGGCGTGGGACACGAAGACGTGGCAGGGGAGGCCCTCTGGGTGCAGCATCAAAGCCTGGGCTGAGCTGGGCCGAGGTTCCAACAGCTGGCCCGTTCAGCCCGTTCAGCCCTAGACTCCTTACAAGGATCCTTACAATGCTCCTTACAATAATCCTTACAAGGCTCCTTACAAGGATCCTCACAAGGCTCCATGATCCTTACAAGGCTCCTTAAGGTGCCCCCCTTAAGCCCCCCCCCCTTAAGCCCCTTATTAAGTGCTGAAAGCAACTTGGAGGTGTTTCAAAGGGAAGGCAGAAGGAACCAAGCATGTGGTGAGCCCTACTTTTGAGACAATGCCAGAAACAAACTCCTTTCCTGACCTGCAAGGTAAAGAAGCAGAACCATTTTTTGGCATCAACCATGTTTTGATGAACCAAACAAAAGGGATTTGAGCAATATGACGGTTGCTTTGACCATTCGACGCCATCACGGGAGCTAACTGTTAGCTCTCAATTTACCCACTTCTATCGGGTGCTTCTCAACATCCATCCTTTTGTTCGGGGCTTCCTGAAGGTGTTTTCAAAACCACCTGTCTTACAATGAAACCCTCCAAATGTCAGCTGGTAAAATCGACCTTCCAATTGCCTGGATCTTGCATGGCAAGTTGGAAAAACCTCGGGTACAGGCGCCCGGCCCACCCAGTCATGCGGCTCAGAAGTGGCTGTCAGCTACATGCAAACTTGGTTGCATACGCGTACCTTCCAGCTGGCCATGCTATTGGGTGCGAAGTAGGGAGCCTACAAGAAGGAAAGCATCCCTGAGTCACAGGTGCGGGGCAGCAAGAAGTTGAGGGCCAATTTTAATTTTACAGTTGCCACCCAACGTCAACACAGGTTCTTCCGTTGTCACCTCAACATTATCCCCGATATGGCATGTTGTGGTAAAGCTCATGAGGGACACGGTCAAACTGTATCTTGTAGGCAATTGCAGGAGCCCTGACCCACAAGCCGGCCTGTCACCAAGGACGATATGCTGGACATGGTTCTGCACCTTGAACAACTTCTGAAGAACAGCCAAACAAGGAACATGTGTTCATCCTTGTATGTTTTCCTTGCTTGGTGATGCTGGTGGTGGCTTTGAAACTTTGCAAGCCACCAAGCTCAAACGATGGAACTCCAGCCAAGCCCTTGTACCATGTATCTCTAAATTGCGCTTCCTTTAACCTGTGCCCATGTTCATGCCGCCTGAAACACGCACAAACCATGAAGACGGGCACTCGCACGCACGCATGCGAGCGCATTCACATCAAAGCGTATGTTTGACATGCTGACCACGTGCCCACCCCGCCTGCCCCCCCGCACACACACACACACTCATGTAAAGCCCCGGCACGTAGCTCATGCCGCCTGCTGCGAGTGTCACAGGCTTCACGAAGTGCTCGTTCACCTGGATCACAGTGCACGAAAAAACATGGCACCATCAGTGCTCTAAATCAGTTCTCCCAGAGGCTCCTGGGGCTTTCAATGGAAAACCAACCCCTCCATTAGACACCGCGGAGGTGGTTGGGGGTCTCAAAACCAGGTTGTTTGAAGGCCCTAAGACAATCGGGAACCTCTGGGCTGACAAGCTGTCCCAGGGTTGCTGTGCCCGGCAACGGCGCCAACTAACTAGGGTCTACCGCCCCAGGCTCCATTCTGGAAGGTTGTACTTTGTAATCCTGCAGTGAGGTTAGTACCGCTTTGACATCCCTCGAATATCATTGCGTCCACATAGTCGTAGGCCCTTTTTAGCAGCATAGCTAGCTCTTAATTTAAACACCTATGTGCGTTCGTGTCGAAAGGGAGGTTGTTCTTTTGGTTTCCTCAAAACAACCTCAAAACACACATATACCCATGCGAAGGTTCCGTAGGGATGCAGAAACAGCGTGTTGGGGAGTCTACTTCAAATTGAGACCACCAGCCGACTCAACGAAAGCTTTTGTGCCAGGCCTGGTAGAGATTTGGCCCGCGCTTCCGGTCGTTGTGCGAGGGGTTGGGCCGCTGAGGGCAGTCGGGAAGCTGTCCGTAACTCCAAACATCCAGCACATCCTAGCCAATGACACGCGAGGCAAACATCTGACCACGCTCCTGCAAATGTGCCTTCAATTTAAGGATGCAAAAACACAGCCAGCAGCTTTACGGCGGGATCCTCTGAATCAGCCGGCAAAGGTGATTTCGCAACTGTTTAAAGACCCCGAAAAAGCATCATCATCAGCGTCTTAGTGGGATCATGTTTTGGTTCCGTCTTCCCTTGCAAGGGGGTTGCCCCCTCCCCAGAACCACTTTGCTAGGAACTCAAAGAATACTGGCTGTTCAGGTGGAGGGTTCGCAGTTTAGTCCATGATTGCACAGAAAGAACGAAGGAAGGAAGACATAAACAGAAACATAAAGAGAGAAACAAAGACAGACATACAACATTGAATGAGGACGTCAATAACAAAAGCTATAAGCCAATCAAGGAATTTAAGCAAACACACAAAAAATAAAGTTAATAACACAATACATATCGAAACAATGTGTAAAGAAAAGAGAGGTATAGAGATCACCAAACAAAGCAAGAAAGAAAACAATAAATAAATATGGAAACAAATAAGACATACAGGCCGCTTAAATACATACATGTATAATAAACAAAAATCACAACTACCGAAAGAGCGAACAACTGAACGAAACAAGGACATAACACACAAACACAGACAGACATAAACATTACAATACATCAAGAAGCACATAAATTAAAACATAAACACAGTAACAAAGAAAGACATAACAAAAAAACAACAACACATACCGAGATAGTTAATGAAACAACGAGTCAGTAAAATAAGAAGCAAATAAATCAATACATTAATTAACTAATTCATAAATAAGCACAAGCAAATCAAATAACTAATAACGAAATGAACAAATATATGTATGTTCTGATGTGAATCGTTTTCTTGTTGAAAAAAACAACTAAACTCAGCACACAAACAACACTATATGAACATAACACAAGGAAACAATATCCAACAGTGCGAGAAATAAAGATAGAGAGAGAAAGAGAGAAGAAATATAAACGAAGAGAGGAACATGGGGGAGAGAGAGAGAGAGAGAAAGAGAGAGAGAGAGAGAGAGCTGTGCGTGGCCATTTCTCGGGCACTGGGAACCTGTGGGAAAATCAACCACGGTTGGGCCCCAGTAGAGAGGGTAGAATAAGGGTATACCCTTTTTCTGTCGTCTATTGTAGTAGGGGAACTGAATCTGCACCCAAAAAAATGTGGTAAAAGGGCACGATCCTGGGGGACCTAGGTTAGTTTCTTGACCATCAGGTCCTTGACGAATGTGAAAAACTCTGTCTTGGTGATGCACCACCTCTCCGCCGGGATCCGCATGTGCAGCTCCATGAGTGACCGAATTGCGTGCCTCACGTCACGCGTCGCACATGCTGGGCAGGTACAAACGCAGCATCGGCACAATGAGTCTGGCGTCTTGCTACCTCTCCCAGAAAACAAAGAAGAGAACAAAAGGCATACTACCCTCCCTCCCAATAACATGGTAACTGGCACAGGGTACCCCCAAGAGGAGAACCATCTTCCAGGTACCCGTTCGCAGGTGCTATGTTTGTTGGAGGCATCTCAAAATTGGAAGCGGCTTCCGTGAGTGGGCGCCCCGTTCTTTGGAACGTGACTCGGTCTGAAACAATCGCACAACAAGAAAGAGCCGCAGTGACAGCCATGGAGCCGGCACCCATTAGGTTACAGGTTAGCCACACCATTACATAGAACAAAACGGGGGTGTTTTACCCCCTGGCAACCCACAAAATTCGAAACTGGCAACGCTGGATAGAGAGTCTATCTAAAAGTGCGTGTCTCACAGCTATTGCGTGAGAGACATGTGAAACCTGGCGGGGATGCAAAAATATACAGAAATAACAACAATTGCTTTGGGTCTGTTCGAACACTCTGCACTTTGGGTCACGACAATGTGACGACTGGATCCTGTTGAAGCGAAACAGTACCCTGTTTTGCACTTCAAGGCATGGTAGGTTTAAGAGTCGTACTTGCCGACGGTAAGATGCCAAGCTGCCAGCGAGCCTACAGGCACAACGAGCATTGAAAGCTTGAGCCTAAATGCATGCTCACGTTGACTCCTGAAACCTCAGCGAGCATGGAAGAACCTCGAAATGGATCGGTTTAGTTTTGGCATTCGTTTAAGCACCCCCCCAAAAAGGCATCTCCAGGGCGATTCCGACCAGCTCGCCGCCGGGCTCCTTTCAAAACCGGGTTGTCGCTAGGCGTTCACGGCTGCGCTCCTTTTTGTAGCTTTTGCCTGGCGGCAAAACCTGTCGGAGAGGGATGAGAGGGCATTGGCAACCTATTTGACAGCTGGTAAATACGAGGCGTCATTCCGCTCGCAAACTCCAACATGGCGAGGAACCCTTCCCGGACTTTCAATGAAAGTAACTCCTTGGCGTTGAAACGTTCTGACCGAACCTCCGTCAAGGGCTCTCTACATTTCCATGCATGCTCAGAGTGCACCTGGAGCGCCTTGGCCGATGCCGAAGCCAAAACATGGCCCTGCCCGCCTTGACAAAGGAGTAGCCTCCTTTGAAAACGAAGAGCCTCTGTTTGCCCACGGCTTTGACGGGATTTCGCCCTTTCAAGGCTACTCCGCAAATGGTTTAGGTCAAAGCGCTGCCACTGCTCGATGATTCCGAGTCAGAATCTGACGATAGACCTTAGCTTCTCGCCAGCGGAAACTCTCGTGGCAATGGGCGATTGTATCTGGTGGGGCGCAGGACACCTTGGGACCTGGGGTAGGGATCCTCCTAATTCCGGCCCCAGCACATATCCATCCAAGAATTCCCTTCAAAAGTGTCCAACCTTTGAACAGACTTGCACTCCCATGGGGCCAAGTGAGGTCATGCAGCACAGGCCTCGCTAAATCAAGCGGCACCCACAAGAATCAAAAGATACAACGCAGCTCGCTGTGCCCTTCTGATTCATCTTGGCTATAAAGCTGAGACAAAGCTGAGACAAAGCAAATGCAAACTAAGGAAGGTCCCCATGAGTTCTCACACATTATGCAGCAGGCAAACCAGCCACTATCATTCGGAGGTGCAAAGCTCGTAATTGGTTCACTCTTTTCCAGGCGGAGGCCTGCAACAGTAGATTACAGCATCTCCTCAGAAGATGCAGGCCGCGGACTAAGAAAGCCAAAGGAGAAAGTGAATCGTAATGGGTTTGGACACAAAGCAAACGCAAAAGGCACACGGAGAGACACTGCCCCCCCCCACATCCGGGAGCAACAGACTAACTGGGTGTTTCAATCGTGTGGGCCCTTCTTATTGCAAAGCGACGCGTAACACCTATCGTCAAAGAAATGGCATAATACACAGCATAACATGCTTCTTGAACATTGACTGAGTGTTGACGGGATCGCTTGACCGGACAGGCAAACCTTTGCACAAGTCAACAAACGAATGTGGACTGGAGCGTTCAGCTAAAACAAATCACTCACTCATGTTTCGATGGTCATAGGTAGTTAGTAGGCAAACGACTGGGCCAACAAACAAAAACGGAAGAGCGGCCACCGGACGAATGAGAGTTACCAGTCAAAGGACAACCCCCCAAATGAAAAATCACCAAATGAAAATGTGTTCAATCAAGTTTTCTTTTTGATGGAAGTACCGGTCCAAACAGTTTCTGGCACAAACCCTCTGACCAACCAACATGAAACATGAAACATGACTCTGGCTTCGCTGCTTTCTTCCATAGCATACTCTCGTTGTGGGTAGTTCGAGAACGCTGAACACAGTGATATGATATGGGAAGGGAACGGGCCGTAGTTTTCAGGATCCATGTTTCTCTGAGAGCACTTCAGACAATGTAAAGCCCGTGGCCAATTGCTTACAACTGATGCTGAATCCTTGACAAACACGTTTTACAAGGGTTGCTGCACGCCAACAATTTGGGATGAATCAAGATTCTATGCTAGTGGGTGCCAGGTTCTCGCATTGAGTTCCAACCCAAACCAAAAAAGTTGCGGCTCCAAGAAAGCTTGGTTTGGTCCCACCAAAAACCCGTGGGGGCTCGAAAAAGTCCCTTTGGACCACGGCTGCCAAGCCCCTGGCGCTCGGGCCGGTCCAGCACCGGGCACTTCCTTCGCTTCACCAGCGCGTGCACGCGCGCGGGCCCGAGGATGGTGACCAGGTCCGCCAACACCGCCATGAAGGGCCGGAACACCACCACCATGTACCTAGGCGCGAGAACCCTCCCTAACATGGAAGCTCCCGAACGGACCCCTTTGGAAGACTTGCTTCCATTTACAGAGGCAGTTTTTGGAGCTTCCATGTTAGTCTGAGGGGCCTGAAAACTCAGATGCCCAGTGGCCCCTCCGTGAGAAAAAAGAGTTTCGGCATCCGTTTTTTTGTGGTTGGTTGAGTGTAGAGGGAAAGCCTTCCCAAAAAAAAACGTTGAAAAAAGGGCGGAACCCACTGGGCAACAGAGTGGAAACCCCAGGTAGGATCCGCTGAGTTCTAGGATTGTATCCGGGGAAAGTGCCGCTTCTTTGTCACCGCGGCACGCCTGAAATTATGAAATTGTGAGGGTCTCACAATTCGCTTTCATTTTGCGGGTTGATACCAAAGTTATGTTCTTGTTTCTTCCGGAACACTGCTTGAGACCCCAAAGGCTGTGTCAGAACACTTTGTACCCGGGCGGCGTCAACTGTGCCACGAAACTTGAAACGACATGCTGCCAGTTTACAGGGCTGACAGTTCCCCCCCCCCCCCCGCCGCGTGGTTTCTTTGAAGGCAAGTGTCGATGCCTTTTTGTGTTGAATGCTCCAGCCATCTGAATAAAAACGTCACCACGGGAACGGGTAAATCAGCGATCATCTGGAGAAACACCTAAAAGATATGCCAAACTGTTTGAAAACACACGGTCTGACTGGGTGACGTGCTCTTCACTTCGCTGGCACCATCCTTTTTTTTATCAGATCGAAGTCACCTTTAAGGCGTAGACACTGTCAACATAACTCACCGCCGAAATACCCAGTGGTTCAGTGACCCGTTCGGATGGAAAAGGGAATAATTTATGTCGTGCTGATCCAAACAAAACAGTTTGGATGGTGTTTCCAAAGAACTGAGATGCTGCGTGGGCTCTTGATGCTACTGCAGTTGCTCTTCCACAGTGAAGTTAAGCCTGCCATGCCAACAAACAATTATCAGCTTGCGAATGTTGCCTAAATATGGCGGCAAATGTCAGCGATATTTCTGCATAAATGATGTCCAACTTGACGTACATTGTAAGGCACCAACGATTCTGCATTTGTTCTACACAGGGAGCAAAAAACGCCAAAGAGAGGGCTTCCCAAGTAAACGACACGCAGCGTTGGTGGGCCGGTTTTCACTCCTGGGACTGGTTATAACCCCAGGAGAGCTTGCCCTAGACGCAGAATACCCTTCAGCGCTTCAAGCCTTAGCCAGCGCTCGCCCCTAACATCTTCCCCTCTCTGCAGTGCGCCGGAATGCTAAGCTAGAGTTCCGGTTTGTCGGGCTCAAGCGTTCAGCCCAGGCTTCCAAGGATGCTGGAGGGAAACCGGAAAAAAGCAAGCAATGCAATCAATAGTTTGAGGTTTGCCTGCACTATTCAGGCGTATGCCCTAGAGGTTACGTATCTTTGTGTTGCTGTTTTGATATTTGAAGGAAAGCCAACGCAACCCTAACATTTTTTGGTGGCGGGGGAGCCTGAAAAATCTGAGAAAAGGCCCCTTTTGCTGAAGCCAAGTTCAACGGAAAGCCTCCCGGCCACGAAGCCGTCGAAAAGAAAAGGTGGGTATGTAAAAGGGGCATGTACAAGCATCCTGTATTGAAACCACGCCGCAACCACAAGAAATGGGGATCCTCCAAAAAATCTGGACAGCATGGGCTCTCTTGGCGCTGTGGGATCGCTTCGACTGGAGGTCTTTTCGTGGTGCGCGGAGCCATTTGAAGCGTACCCTACGGCTGTTCTATTGGGGATGGTATGCGGGGGCCCAATAGGGTTGCGGGGTATCTTTCGTGTGGCGGGGGTGAAAACACCGCTGATGTGCTACGGGGTGGCAACGAATCAACTCCAGGGCTCCTTGAGTTGAACATGAATACTTGGATTTGTTCCCCACCCCCCCCCCCCCCCGGAGAAAAAAACAAAAAAAGCAAGAAAGGCACATACACACACACACACACTCCCAGTCGCCCAGTGACCCTTAGAAACAGGCTTGCAGCCCTTGTGAGGCTTGAGTTCTCGCGGGTCCCGAACAAAAACAAAAAAACACCCAAACAAAGAAACGGGTGGACCATCCCATTTAGCACTGGCCCACTGGATCGATCCACGGTGCCAGGTGCCTGCCTTGGGGCAAATCAGTGTGTCATAGGCGTCCCGCCGCAAAGCGCTGGAGGGTAGGGCCCCGACCTCACGCGCCGATCCCTGTACCCAGGTGCCAAGGCAAGCCATCCAAAGGGGATTCCTTGTGAGACATACCCAAGGAATTGGACAGGCGGCTTCCCCAAAAGGAAAAAGTAGTCCTTCAAAAGACTTTTGTTGGCTTCCAGGATACCCTTTGCAAAGGCCTGCAGAAAAGGATATGCAGAAACGCCTTGCCATGTTTGCCGAGGGAAGGCTGACAAATGGGGAAACCTGCCGGCAAGGCCTTGCAAGCTAGCCTCCCACTCAACAATCATGCGCGGTTGCTCCCTTTCCAATTTTGCCAAAAGCGGTGTGTGTGTGTGTGTGTGGTGTTGTGTTGCGCTGCGCTGCGCTGCGCTGTGCTGTGTTGTGTTGCTCCATTTGATTTAGTACTGCTGGAGCTTCCTTTTGAGATTCTGATTCGAGGTTCCATTTCCTTGGGGGGCAAGCAACAAGACTTTTGTGTAGGGGCCCCTGAATAAAATGTCTTGGGCTCAAATTTGGGGGCCTGAAGCACTACCATTCAGTGGGTTTGATTGTGGGCAGCTTTAAAACAAGAGACTTGTAAGAAAAGCAGGCCCAAATCCAACAACAAAGACTCAAGCTTCACCAGCATCACCGGGGTCCAGGTGCCTTCACTGAGTTTCTCGGGCCACCCGCTTGTCTTTATCTCGGCTCAATCGTTAATCCTAGGTTGACATTTGTTAGCCATTGGTTCTGGAATGCAAAAGCAGCATCGAGGCCATTTGGATAAAAACAACACGAACTACAGAGAAGGCCGCGCTTGGCAGCACATGAAAAGTAAGCTGTGCCCACACCAGAATTTGACTTGGCAATTGTGGCCAGTGTAAGTTTTTTGCGCACGGTCATGGTCTAAGCAAGCAACGTACGTGACCTTTATCCGCGAAGATGCAACACAATTGTGAAAGATGCAACTCAACAAAAACGCAAAGTTATGACTTGATTGACCCGCAATACATTCACTCATTCTGCATCTTTGGGCTCAAGGCTGAAATGGACATGGTCGCCAATCCACGTGGGAAGAGTCAACTCATCAAAGGCGTGCTCGAATTCTTTTCGGAATCAGCTGCATTTGTGTGGGCTCTCCCCGTCTGTCATGCTTTCCTAGAAAGCGGGAACTCCTTTCCCACAGACCACCCCACAATAAAGTCCAGAGACAATCCAAGGAAAAACAGAGACACCCAAAAAGCACTAATAGAAACCTAACAGGAAACCAACAGACGATCTCGGGGTTGGTCGCCCAGACACTTGGAAGTGGCTGTCAATGGCCGCCATTAGAGATGGCACCACCACCGCCAGCCCGCCACAAAAGCCCCAGCAGTCCACCTGACAGCAAGCCATAAGGAAAGCGAACCCAACGCTTAGGGCTTCACGAAGCGGCTTGAGCAGTCCCGGTGGTACCCGGGGAACTGATCCACCCCAACCTGGTTGGTCCTGCTAAAACTTATACTGTTCAAGTGGCGATGCGCTACTCCGTATATAAAGCAAACGGCAGGTGGCCCGAAAGCATGGTTGACCTTTGAGGTTGAAGGCACGCGCAGGTGTTTACAAGAACAAGCTAGTGGAGAAGAACCATTTGTGCTCAGAGATGCTCACTTGCTGAGGGAGACTTGCTCGCACAACTTAATCAGAGAGACTTGCTTAGAGAACCGCGAACTTGCCCAGGGCAACTTGCGCAAATAAACAGACTTGTTCAGGGAAACAACCAACAAGAGGAGTGCGCGAAGTGCACTTTTGCAGCTGCTGCTCAAAAATGGCAAGCTTCAATTCTAACAGGACAAGTTGGCTAACAAGTTCTCTGAGAAGACCAGCACAACAAAAATCCTGCGAAAGAGTTCATGCCTTCGGGAACAAAGCGTGTTGCAAAGAAGCCAGTACAGCAATTGAAATGGAGTAGGGCAGAAAAGTGGCACGGGTCATGCAAGAAAGCTCTATAGACAACTGAGGCTCATACACTGTTCCTTTGCCCCAACGGGGCAGCACCCCCTGCTAAGGCAACATATTAACAGGAACTCGGGGTGTCTGCACTCACTTCTATCTCAAGTTGGTGAAAGGTCCATATCAAAATGCAGGCAAAGCGGAAGCCTTTGCTACCAGGACAACTTCAAGGATCCCTGCATGCAATGCGCAGCATCCAATGCCCTTGATCGATACATCCCCCTCAAAAGAAGCGTTGAGCCTCAAAAGCCCAAAAGCATTCTCAATCAACAAAACCAGTTTATTAAAAGGAGTGTGCGTTTCCCTGGGTGAAATGTGGGGAATCAGACCACTGTTGGAGGGGCCCCAAACCCCCTACTAAGAAACTGGGGTTGATTCGTATGGGCTCAACATCAACCCAAGTTGCAGTCCCTCAACCCATTGCTTCCAGGCCCGTCCCAGTCGTCCGAGCCGCCCCAAAGATCACCCACTCCGGCCCGAAGCCGCGCACCATGCGGAGCAGCAGCGGCATGGCCAGCACAGCCTCATCAGTCGCAGTCGCAGGATGCGTCTACGAAGTCTTTGGCCAAGCCCCCGTTTCAGCCTTTGAGCCATAAACTTGATGTTGCCCAAGCCTGTTCACGTCCCCGTCCGTCTGGGGAACTTGGAAAAGCCCTTCCTTCAGGACGCAACATAACAAGCTTCATTTTTTCTCTCAATCGGCTCCAAGAATTGGCAGTCAAAGCGTTTCCGCTCCAGGACCCGCCTTCCGCACTCCAAAGCTAAGGCCAGCTTTGCCGGCTGATTTGAAAGGAACCCCGTAACAATGACCGAAAACTTGCGATCGGTGCCATAGGCGGGGAATGGACTACACACCATCCACTATGATCCACTATGGCTTCCTAGGGAAAAGGACCCGGGGGCCCTACAAACCAGCCCCCATTTGATTTCATATCAGGAATCCGCCCAGATTCATTCCATTTCTCATTCCCCTCTCTCGCACCGATAGGCTATCGATAGGCTTCCAGCCGAGGCGCCAGGGCCATGACGACGATCGACATGTCCAGCATCCAGTAGCTCTCCGGGCAGCCCGCGTCCCGCCACTTCAGGCACGACAAGGTGCGGACGAAGCACCAGAGCCACAGGAAGGCGGCGATGGGGAAACTCACCGAGACGTCCATGCTCCTTGGCGCGCCAGGAAGGGCGCTGGAATTGCAGTGTTTTTTCCCCCCCTGTGGCCAAGGAAGGCCGAAAATGGGTGGAGCTATTCAGGGCTTTACTTTTCCGGTGTCTTATTTGATTGAAAGGCCAGTAAGGGCGCTGATGTTTGTGTTTTTTCCTCTGGCCAAGGAAGGGAAAACATGCAAGTGGGCAATGTCGATGTTGCTTAATCGCTTGCCCTATGTGAAACAAGTACACTCACCCATTGCATGTAAATGTATGTGGGGGGATGGTGTTGAGCAAAGCTACTGTGCCCGATGCATCCATACTTTGCAAACAGAAGTTACTTTCACGAATCATTTGCGGATTCCTCGCGGTGCGCGAGTAATCACCCAAATCGAGTCCGAAAGGACAACTGTTCAGTACCCGCGGCCCTGCTCACAGACAAATTCCACACTGAATGCCAAAAGATGCGAAAGTTCTATGAAAATATCGCGCCTGTTCGAAACCGTTCGTAAACGTTCGAGTCCTGCTCCATTGCCGCACATAGATTACGCCGTGTGTTTGGTGGTGCTACGTGTTTTCGCATTCGAGTTGCGTTCAAGTTGTGTTGGGATTTCGTTCGAGCACGAGGCTGCTCGGCGTGGGCCACTCGAACGTGAGCGGGTTCCGCTCGGAAGCGTTCGCGTTTGGGGGCGTTCAGGAACGAGGCAATTAGTGTAAACAAGAAGTTCTGCAATGTAAAGAAACGACCGGGGGAGAACGGCATGTCTTCCCCAAACAATGTGGACATGATCATTGAAGGGGGCCGCAGTGAGTACATGAAATGCACTTCAGCCCCGGCTCAAAGTCGCAACCTCGCCCAAGCTTCGCAGCATCAAGCACGGACAAAGAGAACAACACCGGCAAGCATGGAGTGATATTGCAAACTCTCATGTCACTGACGGGCAATAACCGCTACGCAAAACTTCGGGGGGAAAAACAGCTATGTCGCAACTCCATCGAGAAGCTGCCGCGGTGGTACCTGGTACCTCAACCGATATACGAGGACCTTTAGATCGACTCCCATTCCGAGCCACCGTCCAGGCACAGACAAAAACACAGACTTTTGAGGGGCCTCCAAAGCAAATCAAACTTGGACCCCGTAAGATCAGTGTGCGATGCCAACCGCAAATCCTAATTCCACGAAAATAACTCAAATTGCAGCCTCCGCATTGAAACCAACAAGCGCAAAATGCCTAGTTATGTGGCAAATGCCCAGTGGCCCACACACACGCACAAAAAACTAGACCGTTAAAGAAGCCAAGTTTTGAAATTATGTGGCAAGAAAGTCCAAAGCAATTGCTTGCACACCAGCATGAAACTTATTGTTTGTTTATTTAGAAAGTGTAAAAAACTTAAAACTGGGAACGTGTCACATGCCTCCAGCAGCCTTGGCTGATCTCCCCACGCGTTGCTTCACTAGGAATACCACTGAAAGCCTGGCATCTGGGCTGGGGATGCCTAAGCTTAACAGCTACCCATGAATATCTAGACTAGGTCCTCCAGTAGAGAGGTTAGAATAAGGGTACCAACTGTTCTTTTTAGTCTATTTTAGTAGGGGAACCCTTCCCCCCAAAAATGCAAAAACGCACTACTGGGGGACCTAGTAAGCCAAGCGTCCCTGCACCAGTGATATCAACACCCGCTTCGTGGGCCTGTCTCAAGGACTTGGTGTAGGCACCAGCCTTCATCAAGACGCGGATTGTTGTGACCACATCCTCCTGGCCAGGTCAGCTGACCGCATACCCCAAGTCATCATTCACATCTTCTTGATCATTGGAGGTACACCCGCTCAGACTCAGGCAAGCATGAATAATGCAAAACAACTTGAAGGGAAAAGGAAGGACAGAAAGGGAATGGAAAAGGAAGGAAAAAGGAGGGAAAAGCAAGGGAAAGCGCACGGAAAAGGCAGGGAGAAGGAAGGAACCTTAAAAACCAGTGGTTTGACAAAGAAAAACAAAGAAAATGGCGGCTTCAACCAACAAAGGCAATCCGTCACCCTTATGCCAAGCACAGTTTGCCCGGCTGAGTAGTCTAAGGGGTTGGAAAAGTTCCACTAGCGCAAGCTGCCAGGGCTTTCATTCCCCATGTCCAGTCGTGTGTTTGGATTGTTTTTTTTCCTGATGCCATGAAAGCCCAAACGATGCTTCCCTTTCACATCAACTTGGTGCACTTTTTTGGTGTGGTCCTAAACGGAGACCAACAGAACCAACACTTTTTTGGGAGTCCAGCAAAAAAAATCGTGGCTGCTGCTGACCCCTCTGCAAGAAGCTTCGCTTGTGGGCTTGGTGGAAGACCCGAAAGGTTGCAACCAACAAGTTGAAGTCGAAAGAAAGGTCCAAGCCGTTGAAAAAAAAGGAGAAAGAAGCAAAGGAAAGAAACCAACACACTCCAAGAAACAAGTCGAATTCTCCACGCTCAGTTTTTCTTCTTTTTTTAACACCCCCCCAAAAAAACAACAGCAACAAATCCCACTTTTGGAGCCTCAAGAAACTCGCCTGAACCGTGTCACCCCCACCTCCGCCCCAGCGATGGCGCAGCGGATCCGCTGCTCATCCGCCGGGCTGGTGCAGGTGGCGAAGTCCAGCGAGGAGAAATGCCTCGAGCGCGCGACGCGTCCAACCCGCGGGTTGGGCCTCCCAACACTTTCTTCGATTTGCTTCCATTTGCAGTTTTCGCCACCTGGAACTAAAAGACATCTCCAAAACGGTCACGAAGTCTCCTCCATTTGCTTCAGCCCCTTTCTCGGTTGCTTTCTGCTCCCCTGCTAAACGTTTTAACTGTTCGTGGGTTAAATGGAAATCCCAACACTAAACCCTAAAAAAAGCCAAAGGGGATGGCAGCCTAATGTTCACCCCGGATCTCTAAGTAGAACCCCTGGTTGATTTTCATCGGGGGGTATCCCCTTTCAAAGGGGATTCAGACTACTTTTGGAGGGAACACCCTAACACCCCCCCAATAATCTGACGGGGTTATTAATCCTGGGTCAACATTTCTCCCAACACCTGCTTTCATTTGCTTAAGCCCCCGGGAAAAAAACTGAAAATTATGTCCAGTGTGATAGATTCCCTTTAAGACCAACTTGGGAAAATTATTAAGCAAATGAAAGCCTGGCTCTTCGGGGGATGGACCAAGAAGGACATCCCCACAATTACGCACATTTTTCAGGGAGGAAGTTGGAGAACCTGAGCCAAGTGGGCATGAAATGTAGGGGGAACCCCAAACCTGGCTCAATGCAAAAATTAGTGGCAATCGCTTGGCGGCATGGAGCATAACTTTTCCGCAAATCCGGGAGCTTCACTTTACGGCATGGCTTCCCTTGATAGCTGTGATTGGATCCTGGGCTGGTGTGCAGGGGACATGGTTTCCAACCGGATGGATCTCATCCAGTGACCCCCCGTCAAGCCCCAATAGGCAACCAGTTGTTCTGTTGCTTGTTTGGGGCGGGCTCTTACTATACAGATAATGGCGTCGCTGCGGAGAAAAGACGCCCTAAAAGAAGCTTCACCTTGGTTCCCCGTTAAAACAAGCAAACAAAAACGAGCCAAACACAAAATCGACTTTCGCATGGCTTTTTAGAAGCACAAAGGCATGGAGATGCGACCTTGAGCTTGTAATGCAGCACTGCGCAACTGTTGGTATATGTACATATATATATATATATATGTTGAAATGCTAGGACGGCGCTGTGTTCCGCGCAGCCCCAAGGAAGAACGGACAGAACCCACAAAGGCCACGCATTTGAGTGGAATGCAACCTCCGTACCTCTAAATCCATGGCTGAGCATTCCCTTGATCGGCTGTTGGCCGTAGTGATTCCAAGTGGTAGGGCATGCCGAGCTGGCAACAGCAAAATGAAAAGCAAACTGTTGAAGGCTTCACGCTCAAATTGCATAACCAAATCCGGAAAAAGGACACGGACAAAACTAGGGCCCGTCCCTCTGAATGTTGTAGGAAAATTGGGTTGTCCCCCCACGTCCTCCCCCAAAACAGCAGTAGTACTGTATCAAGTTGGTGAACACCATGCTGGGGAGCAACTCCGGTAGGAAAAAGGCGACCCGTTCTTTGGAATACTGCGCTGTAAGCTGGTCGGCCAACAGCAGGCCCCGATGAATCCAAAAAGAAACGACCAGTTGGAAGAGTATGGCTGATGCAACTCAGAGGTAGTGATGGAACAAGTAGTCTGCTGGAATGAAATATGTAAGTGCATGAACAAACCCAAGTACTAGCCTTGACGACAGTCAGAAAGGTGGTAAGTTGGCTTCAGCTGGGAGGTGCATCGGCTGTCCCTAAAATGAGCTCTGCTTGGCACTTGCAGTTTTGCCATCTTCCACAGGGCTTCTCCAAAGACTCGAGCACAAGGGGTAGAAAGTTGGCCAAGCGAACGGAAGGCAAAAACCGGTGTGTTGATCACTTCCAAAACCTCGTTTTCAACGAGAGCAGGACAATGGCTTTGGCAGAGAGGTGCTCCTTGGCTTGTAGGGTTGCCTCAAGAAAAGATGGAAGACTAAAAGGTAAACCTACCGAATTGCCCATGGTTCCGCAACATGTCGACACGTTCTGTGTTCCACAGAAAGCGCCTGTCGGAAATCTGACCATGGTGAAATTGAAACTTCAGGCGCCAAGCTTGGGGCGTGAGCTTGAGATGACCCATCGCCTTGCGTCTCAATGCCGGAAGCATTCAGCAACATCTGGGCCGTAAGTACCCAAGCCGCCTTCCTTTCCAGGCAGCATCCCCAAAGCAAAAAACAGATCCCCAGTGGCCATGGAACGCAGAATGCTCTTGTATTTCTTGGATGATCTTCACGGGACACCGCTGCGAAAACCTCAGTTGTTCAGTGACCCCGGAAAAAAGGGAACCCTTTTTTGGGAAGACCATTTTAGTGGGGCAGCCACCAGAAAAAAAGGGAAAAAGGGAGCCACTGGACAACTGAGAAACAAAACAAAACATCTGGAGGCCTTGGGCCACGGAAGCAAACCAATCCAAGTCGCAAATGGCTCGCCTGCCGGGTGAGCTCCCGGCCTTCCAAATGCTGCTGGTTGATCTGGTGAACGCCTCACCCGCTGTGAAGCGGCAGCCAAAAAAGATCCCCCCACCTAAAGGGGATGGGGGGTCCCACAATTCCATCGATTTAGTCTTCCCCACAAAAGGGAAAATGGAACCCTAAATGGAGATCTCCAGGGGTCACCCCCCTTCACCCCCCTCCCCTAATTCCATTTTGAAGCGGGTGGGGATCCAAAAAGCAAACCTTTGGTTTGCAAGCGGCGTGGCACAACAAACCCTTGGTGTGCTTTGGTTACTTCAAGTTCAGCTTCCTCTGACTTGACGATTTCTCGTGGTCTAGAACAAAAATACGAAAAAAAGCAGAGCCGAGCCTTGGGAAGTGAGACGGAGAGTCTGCCGAAGATAAATTTACTGGCGCGCATGGCTTTGGGTGTCTGGCCTGGGGGTAAACATTGGCGGGACAAAACCTGGCAGAACATGAATCGACCGCTTCTGCGGCTCCCCGTCCATCGCAATCCCGCAAGCCATGCGACAGAAAGATTGTCATGACTACTCCATCACGCAGCGGCTCTCCACGACAACAGCGCAGTCACCGCCGCAGGGACCATTCTGACTGAACAACATCGTACATGTGTTCTTTGTAACATTCCTTATTGACACTGCAAAGCTTTCAGGAAGTGTGAGAGAGCCAACTTCATCACTCCCATTCCTGGCTTGCCCACCAACCGAAATATTGAAAACTAAAAAAACAAATATTGCACCGCCCGACGTGTTGCAGCTTGGCACTCGGCTTAGCCGCTTAGCCTTGCCAAGCTTCGGGTCGCATTCAGCAGGCACAGGGAGAGAGGAGCCAGGTAGTGCAAGATCCGCTCCTTTGTTTCCAAGTGCACAGGCTTGAAGATCCATGGCAGCCTCGGGTCCGACGGCCCGGGGTCTGCAAGCACCTCATGCAGTTGTGGAAAATGGCCAGGCCTGTACCATCCCTCGTGTGTTGGGGGAAGGGGCGGGGGTAGAATACCCTATGTAACAGTTATAGTCCGCACAAGAAATGGCCTCACACTCCCCAGGCCCTAGAACTGTCGGCCAAGTTGGCAACACGTTCTTGCAACAGTCCTCTTATATTGGGATATGCAAATCTGTATGTGTTGATGTCTGTACATTTCTCTACTTATTCATCTGCATGCATGTCTGTATGTCCACGCTCGAGCACTCGAAGCAAGATTCAAGAAACAAAACGTAGCTTCCTTCCTCCAAACATGTCTGACGCCTGAGCGTCGCTTCAATGATCCGGGCTGCTGCATCGTGGAGGCCAGGAAGAGGTTCATCACGTGCACCAGCCAAGCGCATTTCTGTAGGAATGCAGCACTGCACACCGTGGCCAAGGT